AGGTTTTTCTGGAAGAAGGAGGAAGAAAGAATTAAAAGAGGAAATGTTTAGAAATAATCGGATATTTAGTACCAATTATTTCCATCAATTCAATCTTCTTATAATCTGTCAACATAACGATATCTTCATCTTAAAAATAAAGCTCTAATATTTTTTATTTGTTACTAATTCTCTTTTACCTTCCGCCTTCTTAATTTCTTCAATTAAAAGCTTAATTTTAGGGTCATTATTATTTTTAACATTAAATATTTCCTTTAATTTTTTTACATGTATTTCATTTAATTTGTCTTTACTATTTAATTTTAATTTTTCTAAAATACATTTATAAATTTTTAAGTCAGTTTCTTCTTCATTAATTAAAATATTTTTTTGTTTTTTATTTTTATTTATCAATTCTCCAAAACATTCTTTTCCATAATATAAATATCCAATTGTTTTTGACTCGAATGATAATTTTGCAAATGTTTTAATATCAAAAAACCATTCCTAAATTTTATAATTTTCATTATTTTTAATTTTTTCCAATTTAAGTTAGGCCCAAAAAATTCAGGTGATACATACATCTCTTACAACAGTTATGTACATACCGTATTTACTCGATTAATTCACCCGGGGAATTACTTTTTCAACTCATCCCTGACATGGGGAATTATTTGAGGGTGGGGAATTAATAGAGTAAATACGGTATATTCTTTTGAAGTTTTTAAAAAAAGTAAATCCTCACAAAATCTATGCTTACTATTTTATTTTTCTAATAAATTACTACATATACGTGTTTATTAAATATAAAATTATTATTTAAATAAAATTTACTTTAATTTCTTTGGGTTCATCCTCAATAGCATCCTTTGTAACAATTAATTTCATATAAATTTGTGCACTAATAAAATTCTTCAAAAATTTTTTCCATATTTTTTCATAAGCTAAAATAATTGCCACAAAATCTCTAATAGACTTAAAAATTTAATTCCCAGATATTCAATTAGAGATTTTCGGTATTTTATTTTAAAAAAATAATTTAAAAAATTATTACCTTCTTCTTTAATAAGCTTCCAATTTTTATATAAAAAATAATCTAATAAAGCTTTACTTCTCCATTTTTCAATTATATTATTGAAATTAAAATAATTAGTATATAAATAAATTATTAATTCATTCTCTTCTTTAATACCTTTTTTTAATTTTAAAATAAATTTATGGCCCTTGTCCAGATTACACGTACAATCACACAATTACACGTCCAATAAAATGTTCATTGGTCCAAACAAACTTTTATGTGTCAAATCTATGTCGATTAAGTACCCGATTCTCCGTGTTAGAACATATGGTCCGGTATCGTGAGTGTACTAGAACTCTGGGTGCGTAAGGCTTTCTATTCCAATATATTCTATGGCACTAAAGTGCGGAACCATCGCCGTTGATTGGACGCAAAAATTAAGCTTGACCATATAAACTTTTTATTAGACGTTGATTGTACGTGTAATATGGACAAGAGCTAAATTTATTTTATTTTCTTTAAAAAACTTACTTAATTCTCCAAAAATAGTTGGCAATAATATTTTAATTGTATAATATCTAACAATTCCAAAAATTTCAATAAACTTTTCTTTTGACAATTTTGGGTATTTATTTACATAATTTCTATAAAATTAAAAGAAAAATTCTTTTAATTAATTTAATTTTCTTAACTTTAAAAAATCCAAATTTTCTTCTTTTTTTGGAAAAACTTTTAAAAAAATATTCAAAATTAGCATCAAATAAAGCAATTTCATTCTCCTTTATAATTAATTCTAATTCTGAATTTGGAGTAGTTCTATCACATTTAATTGTTAAAACTGCTGAGGGATTGTTATATTTTTCTAATCCTATAACTTGTTCTTTATATTGCAATAAACTACAAATTCCAAATTGTCCAAGAACTTTAGTCATTTGATTAGAAAGTCTTTAAAAATAATTTTAAAAATATATGTACTTAGTTATAGCTTTAGTTTAATTTTTTATTAGTCCAAAAAGCTTTTTTTGATTATTTTTAGCGCCGTATGCGAAAATTTTGAGTTTTTTGGAACAACAATATACAACAATATATTGTTGTACTTCGGCCATATGCAAAATTAATCCATTTAAAAAGTATAAAATTTAAAAACAAATTTTAAATTGTGAAAAAAAAGAAATTTTTGATAATATTTAAATATTATTCCTTCTTCCAAACTTGGATTACAATAAGAAATAAAACAATTTCAAATATTTGTCATTTCTGAAAATTGAAAAAAAATTTTTTAAATTTAAACATTTAATATACAGGGTGCGGCAAATTCGCGCAACTTTTTGTTTTTAACATAACTTTCTTCATTTTTATCGAAAATTGATAATTCTTTTTTTATTTTATACCTAACACTTTGCCGCACCCTGTATTAATCTCAATAAAAAATTTTATGGTTATGCTAAAGTTTCATTATTTATGTTTTTCCTTTACCGTATAACCTGTATTAATTGCCCTCCCTTGAATAATTACTCCCTCCAGCGGAAGGTCGAAACATTAATTACCCAGGGTAGTTATTAAAGGATATACGGTATACATATTTTTATTTTTTCTGTTAATTTGTATTTTTTTATTAATTCTGACTAACGTATTATTGTTATTTTTATTAAAACTATTTTTTAATTAATTAATTTATTATCACAAAATTTTTAATAAATAATAACCTGTGGGAATAGTATTTACACACGGAGCCGAAATTAATAGCATTAGAGATAAATAAATTAAACGCATTTTTTTAAAAAAGTTAAAAAAAACTTCCTTTTTTCTACAAACAAAAAAATTTACATTAAAATTATCAAGTTTACTTCCAATATACAGCCAATTTAGAGGGATGCTTAAACTCTTATTGGATTAAAATTATAGTAAACTTTATACCCCATATTTTCCCTAAAATAAAGCTCCTTTCTTTCTCTCTTTTAATAATTTTATAAAAAATAATTTAAAATTTAATTTTTCTTTAAAATATTTATTTTTAATAATTAAATAAAAAAATTTAAATATATAGAAAATTGATTTAAAAAATTGTTCAATAGGGCATATTAAATATTGTTAAATAATATATACATATGTAAGCATTTTTATACGTGGATTATTGATTGACAAAAAATTTCTTAATTTTTTATAAAAATTAAATTTTTGAAGTTAAAAAATAAAAAATAGAAATAAATTATAATTCTGAAAGAAGTTTATTTTGAGTGAATTTTACTTTATAAAACAAGATGGAAATCAAAAGTGTGCAGAAACTGATTTTTAAAAAGCGAAAAACGAAAGAAAAAATGCGACCAAAATTTCTGATATTCTCTACTCTTTTTAATTTGCCGAAATAAATAATATAAAAATATTTTTTTAATTTTTTATGCACCTAGAATTTTATAAACAAAAAATAATAGTTTAATTAATTAATTAAATTTAAAAATTTATTATAATTTCAATTTTTATTTTTTTGTATAAATTTATTTATTTAAAAGCAATCTTTGGTTGTTAGGAATTTTATTTAAACAAAAAATGTTTAAAAAGCTGCAGGTGGAAGATCAGATAAAATTAGTACAAACATAGTATATTCCTAAATAAATGTAAAAAAAATTTTTGTTTAAACAAAATGCTGCTTAGATATATATGTAATGTGTAAATAAACAATTTTAATTATTTAAAAAATATTTTTTTTTGTTTTTAAATATATTTTTTTTATTTAATTTTGTATATTTTAAAGAAAAAAGAATGTATTAATTAAATAAAAGTGCTAAGTTTCGAATCCAACTCTAACCAATTTTAAATCTTGTTTCCTATTCTACATAGCTCTAACTGGAGCCATACTTTTAATAATATTATTTAAATTCTGTTTATTTTAAATTAAAAAAATATTAATAAATTCTGCAAATTTTTTATAAAATTTTATTTAAACTTTAATAATTTTAAAGAAATTTCTAAAAATTTTTTTGAATAACAATTAAATTACTAAAAATTATTTTAATTTATTAAATTTATTTTTTTTTGTCAATTTCAATTATTTTAAAATTAATTATTAAATGTCTTCAATTCCAAATAAAAAATATTTGCCTTCTATGAATTATTCTGTTGATGATCTTTGTGAGGGAATGAGTAATTCTTTTATTCAACCAAATTCTACAAATGTAAGTTGTTAATTTATAATTAAAAATAAATTAAATTTTTGTATAGTATTTTGTACAAATTTTCGAAAAAAATTCTTAATTTTATTTTTTGTTGAAACAAATAATTTTTCCTCTCCTTACCTCTTAACTAGAGACCGAACTTTCGTGATCGTTCGATAACATCGGTATCGATATTTTCTATCGATATATCGTATCTCTACTCTTAACCGTCTTCATTTTCTCATCCTCATTCATTCCACTCATTCTCCCTTTTTTGTTTCCTTCTAAGTAGGAATTACTGTGGAGTTACTGTTTCTAAAATACTATAAACACAATATATGTATAAATTTAGTTATTAAATATTGGAGAAGAATGTATTCTTTGTGAAAAAATAATTGAAGATAATTTATCAATTATTTCAACATGCCAACATTTATTTCACAATGCTTGTATTACTCGATATTTTAATGAAAATGGTTGTTGTCCAACTTGTTTTGATGAAATTAATGAAAATAATATTTTTAATGTTTTACCAAAAAATCCAAAAATTAAAAGAAATTTGGTATTTAATTATTTTTAATTAAAATTAAATAAACTTTAATCATAAAATTAAAAACTTTATGGGTTTTAAACTATCGTTTTTGGAAGAAAAAGGGAAAATGAAATTTAATAATAATTTACTATGTAGATGTAAAATAAATTTACCCAGATAACGATTTACTTAACTAATTGAACTCACTCAGATAATTACTCTTCTAGCGAAGGACCAAATAATAATTATTACTCATTTAATTACCTTTTATAAAATAATTAACTACCACATCAATCAGAGAATTGATATTAATTAATTATGTCCCTCATACTAGAGTACTACCCTCGCTTTTCGGCTATCACGCATTTAAAACCCCCGGTTTTTATTTTCAATTTTGGGTTAATACATATCAGTTTAATTTTGAGGGAATTTTCTAAAAAAATCATTAATTTTCAAAGTATTTTCGGTTTTTTGTTTCCTGTATTTACTCGATTAATTACCTTGCCTCGAACTCTCGCTGGAGGGGGTACTTGATTATGTAAATACAAATAAATTTTAGCGAAATGGGAATAAAATTAAAAATTTCAAATTAATGAATGGCTATATAATGGAGAATATAGATCCATTAGCCACAAATGATGATCGAGAATATTTGATGGAATTTGCTAGAGGGATTGCCGAAGTAGTTATTGTAGGGGTTTATAAAAGAATAAAAAAATCTTCTATTAATTTTAGGAAGATATTTTTGTTAATACAGTAGAGAAACAAATATCTAATTGGCAGAAACTTGTGCATAAACTTCAAACACAAAATATGAGTCCCTGCGTTTTAGGCTCAGCTCTAGGCAAGTTAATTTTTTGAGAACTAAAAACTTAGGAACTGGACATTTTATAAATTACAGTATTTCCTGAAATAGTACTCCATTACTATTTTTCAACCCTCCTCCAAAGAGACGTATTATTAAAGGGGAGAGTTCTAATTCAGGGGAATATTATTACAGGAAATACAGTAATTTAATTTAAAACTATCATTTTTAGAAGAAAAATTTTAGAAAAAAAGGAGGGATAACAAATTTAATTACATATTTTAATTGCCCTCTCCAAGTTTTGAACAAAATTTGGGAATCTTTTACCCTCTAGCGAAAGATCGAAAAAAATTTTAAATTGATTTAAAATTTCCTTTCATCTGTCCATGCTCATTATATTATTATCAAAATTCTCTTCATTAAATATTTAAATCACTAAAGAATTATTTGATAATTTAAAAGCCCAAATAAAAATCATTCTTTTTTTTATTTAGCTCTTCTTATTGCGTGTTTTAAAGATGTTTGTGTTGCCGAGGGTTGGCATAAACATTTTGTCAAATTTTTCCTTTCAGTTCTGGACGAGATGTGCGGAGTTTTGAACAAAATTTGGGAATTTTTTGTTATGGCATGGAAGTGGCTTTGCAGCATTGGGGATGTTGAAAAGAAGAACATTGAATAAATAAACAGGGTGCTGCAAATTTTTCGCCCCTTTTGTTTTTCCCATATCTCACTTCAAACTCAACAAAATTTGATAATTCTTTTATTGTATTCTCAACTCTCTAAGAAATTTTTAGTGCCAAATAATAGAAATTTTGTTCGCAGAATAAAATAAAAAAAAAGAATTATCAATCTCCTCTATTAATTTTTTTATTCTCCAGCGAGAGAATGAAACATTTTCTATCCAGGGAAATTAACACAGCATATACGGCACAACTTATATTTTCGCATTCTCCTAATTTAAATTCTCTATAAAATAAAATTTTTTTCATTTCTAATTAAAATACATACGATCTAAACTTAGATTTACTCAAAAGAGAATTCTCAATTCTGTTAAAATAGATTTCTTATTAAGGCTAGTTTTTAATTTCGTCCCAAGTTTTCAATTTTTGTTCCAAAAAATTGAAACTCCATTATTAAAAAACTCTTAAAAAATTCCACAAGTTATTTAAATTAAAAAAAGATTATTTGATTTATTACGAAAAATACCATTAAATAAAGTGAATATTTAAATGAGATGTGTTGGCAAATGTTCTTTGATATCATTTTTAAATAAATTAATTGTAAATATTTTTAACTTCAAACAATTAAATTCTCATAAACATATTGAGCTAAAAGTAATCGATTAACATCCAATGCCAAATGAGAAGTTTTCTCTGCCCGTAATTTTATTCCATTTGGACAAATTTCTAAAAAAATAAAAATTAAATTTGAAAAAAAATATTCTTAATTTTTACCTCTTTTGTTGTCAACAAAAAGTGAAAGAACTTCCTTTTGCAAATAATCTTTAAGATTCTCTTCTGTAGACAAAATTTTCTTTGAAGATAAAAGACAATTTGTATTTTGAATTAAATTAAACCATCGTTCATAGCAAAGTTGGCGAAGCAAATTTCTATTAAAAATTAAAGAAAATTTTGTTGAATAAAATATTCAAAATTTAAAAAGAATCTAAAAAATCCTAAAAATATACTTTTAAGGATACAAGATTTATGTGATTTTTAAATTGGTTCTAGTAGTCAACACCCCGAAAAGGCAAAAAATTAAATTTATGTTTTCTTAACATTATAGTAGAGAAACTCATTTCATTAAAAAATTTCCCCTATATTACTTTGGAATTTTTAAGTTGTCACTAAAATTGTCCTCAAATCCTTCATCAATATTAAACTCTTCCCATTTTGGAATTGAATTAAAATCAATTTCTCCATTCTCCATAAAATTCTTCCAAAGAAATTTAACATATTTTTCAATACATTTTTTCTCCTCAAAATATTCATCTTTTTTAATTAATTCTTTATCAGACAAGCTAGCAATAGGAGAATGGCTTAAATCGAGAACCTAAAAAATGAAATTTTACAAGTCAGGGTAGGAGAATTTGGAGACACGAATGAGGAAAAATCGCAGGTTAGGATCAGGGACAGAATCAAAAACCGCAAATCACCGTAAAACAGAGTTCGTTCCTCCCGGAAGGATTCAGCTAATTCAAGTTAAATAGAGCCTCATTAGATATACCCCCCAAAAACCTACCATTCCTATCTGGCTTGCATTTGGCAAATCTTCAAGAAGTTCAGAAGGCCCAATAGATTGACGAGAATTTAAAATATCATCATTGCAAATAGATTCTCGGGCAGAAATATTTTGAGGAAATTTCGTCAAATAACGTTCTGTTGGTGAACGGGGAGTTGCTCTGTAATAACCAAAATAAAATTTAAGAAAATTTATAAACAATAACCTAGGTGGACTTTTAATAGGAGGAGGACTTCTTGAAATAGCGGGAACATTATTCATTAAACGTAATTTAACAAGAGCTTCGCTAGCTGAACTTCGGCGACGGCTTAAACTGTCACGGCCAGTGCATAAAGAAGTACTTGGCATAGGAGACAGAATTGAACGAAGTGATTTCTCTGATGGTTTGAAAGAAGAAACAATTCCATCAGAAACATCTTCCAATGTTGAATTAAGTGATTCGTTTAACTATTATGTAAAATCAATTTTTAAGTCAAAATTTAAAAAAAGACCTGATTATTTCGAGATGTAATGTTCTTTTCTATCTCATTATTAGATTCTGGTTGTTGACTTTGCTCAGATTTTGAATCAATACTTGAAGAGGATATTGTATTTGCAGAAGCATAACCATTTTTAATCGAAACAATCTATAATTAAAAAAAAGAGAATACTGTTTTAAAAGTTATGAATATCTGCTTTGATGCTACAATATTTAAAGATTAACCTCCTCAGGAATCGACTCAATTTCTGCCGAAGTTCTCTCACGTGATGATGTATTCACACTTTTAATTTTGGATTGATTGGACATACTTCCCTCGATAATTCCATTATCCTTTTTATTTTCTATTGAATCAGTGTCACGCGGACTTGGAATTTCTTCAAGTATAGAATCCGTCTCATTTCGATTTGAAATCAAAGGAAACTCTCCACCCAAATCTTAAAAGCATTTTTAAAAATTTTAGATCTAGAAAAACCTCCATTTCCACCATTTACTTCAACTACATCGAAAATTTCCTCCAAAGTAGCAACATTATTTTCAGCTTGAACATTTTTGTTAGAAATTTGAGCAATAAGCTGTTCTTGAGCAATAACAATATTCTCAAGATTTTTAACACGAGGTGATTGAACCTTTTCGCTTGTAAGATTCTGTTTTTAATAAAAAATGAATTATCAATTTATTTGCTTGTAAATGGGTGCACCACCGAAAAACGAGTCCCGGAAATTTGTGCTCCAGGATTTATCGAAAAATTGGGCTCCAATGGAAATTTGGGCTCTTGGAGCCCAATCTTCCAGAGCCCCTTTTTCGGACACCCCGAAAAACAATCATATTTAAAAAAAATAAAAAAAGAAATTACCAACCTGATTTAATCCATTATTTGTAGAATTTATTACATTTTCGCTAACAAAAGGCAATGAAGTAATATCCTCACTGGTGTTACCACCCGAATTATTTTCTTCTTCAGAAGATGTTGAAATGATAGAATCATTTTTCGGTTCAGTCTTTTCTTGCTCTGTAATTATATAATTTTAAAAATAAAAAAGATAAAAAAACCTTGTTGGGAAGTATTTTCATTCAATTGAGCATTTATTTGTTGTAAAGGTAAAACAGAAATATCTTCATTCAATTCATTCTCTTCGTTTGTCAAAGCCATATCGGCCAAAAACTCCAAAGGGCATTGTTGAACAGAAGAATTAAAATTATCTGCTGATGAAGTAACCTTTTCGATAATAGGAACTGGGAGATTTTCTTCAAAATTTTGAATAAATTGTTTAGGGATATTATTTTTTCGACGAATATCTTCATTAATTGAAAGCAAAGTAAAATCAAGAAGAGGAATTTTTGGAGTTAATTTTTTGGGTGTAGAAGAATCTAAAACAAAAAATAATAATTTTATAACATCTTTGAGCATAAAAACCAAAGTAGAATTCGATAGTTTTTACCTGAAAGATTGTCAGCAACTTGGCAAGATTGTACGGTATCAAAAACCTCCAAAGTAGAGTCAAGCTCATCAGCTAAATCCCCATCAGAATTTTCAGAGTCTTCTTCAATATTTAGTTCATGCAGGCCAGGCGAAAAATTTGGCAGTTGCTTTTCTTGAGCTTTGGCAGGAGATGAACTGAAAATGAAAAAATATCAAGAATTGTCGAGCAACATTTCAAACTAAAATTTGGACAACAAATAATCTTTTCAAAATAAAACCTTAAATCAGGACAATATTCAAAATAACGACGTTCCATAAATTGTAATTCTTGTTTGGCCTTAAAACGAGCAATTAATTTACGAGTTTCTTCTTGTTGTTTAAACATTTGAACATAATGATCGATTAATTTTGACTTTAAAAAATACCAAAAATTATTTTAAAAATATTTTCAAAAAAAAAACCTTATCAACATTCTCATTTAATTCCATCTTTATTTTCTTCTTTTCCAAATCAAAATCATTCATTAATTGTTTAAACTTGTTTGAATAACTCTCTTTATTTCCAAAAGCATTCCTTTGTTCTTCTCGAATTAAATAAAGTTGAATTCTTGTATATTCTTTAAGTGTATCTATTCGATGACGTAAAATATATTTTCGATCGAAAATAAAGTCACTAAAAAATTAAAAAAAAATGTTTGTAAATTGATCAAACAGAAAATACCGTTTCTTTTTTACACTTAAAGCATCATTTCTTTCACCTGAAATAATTTATGAAAATTAAAATGATAAGAGGAAAGTAAATTTTAATTTCTCTTTACTTGTACATTTAGTTTTAAGAGAGTGAAAATATCCTAAAAATCCATTGAATACACTATGACAAAGGGAAACGACACAAACATAAAAATATATGTATGTATCCGTCAAGGGCGTAGCCGGGGGTCAGATTTCGGGAGGGAGGCCATGCCTATTTTATAATTTTTAATTAAAAATCGTTTTTTGTCTCATCTTTGCCAATACCCTCCCAGAATTTTTTCCTTTTCCCCATTTCAAAGGGTTAGTCCCAGAAGCCTCCCTGGCTACGCCCTTGGTATCAGTCCAATTTTTAACTGTTTTAGACTAATAAATAAACTGTATGACAGAACACAACTATAAATTTCAGACTGTTCCTAATTCCAAGGGCGTATCCAGGGGGGGCTGGGGGGGCTAGAGCCCCCCCCCCCCCCCGAAATGGGGGAAAGGAGGAAAAAATTAGGAGAAGGATGGTCGAAAAAGTGAAATTTTTTTGCATACAACCCTCAAATTTTAAAAAATTTTCGCCTGCGGCGCAGAAAATGGAAGAAATCTGGCTTCTTCAGCTCCAAAATCCTCAAAATTTTTGCCTGCGGCGCTAAAAAGTGAACTTTTTTGGCCTACGGCCCTCCAAATTCCAAAAAATTTTCGCCTGCGGCGCTAAAAAAGGAAGAAATCTGTCTTAAGGACCCCGAAATTTTCCAATATTTTTGCCTGCGGCGCTGAATAAGTGAATTTTTTTGCCTACGGCCTTCTAAAATTCAAAAAATTTTCGCCTGCGGCGCAGAAAAGATTAAAATTTATGTAAAAAAAATTTTCGTCCGGAACGCCAAGATAAACGCCAAAAATTTTTGCGCCCACCCAGTGTTAGCCCCCCCGAAACCGACCCCCTGGATACGCCCTTGCCTAATTCTCCCAAAAAAAGTTAAAATTTTAAATAAAATTTAAAACCTTTATTTTGACTTGTCTCTTCATTGTTTTTGTTTATCCATGATTCAGGCGTTTGAGTTGACTTAAACGAAGTAGATAAACGTCCAAATTTATTACTAGCCATTCCATTTTCTTCATAAATATTCGAATCCCCCAAAGTTTTATCCATATGCCCAACAACAGAATCCAACTTTTCTGACACAAAATTAAGTCCCTCTTTAATTTCTTTAACATGTTTATCCAAATCGGCAATGAATGTTGGTTGAATTTCAGTTGGAATTGAAGGTAGATTTATAGGGAAATTATCATCTTCCGCTTCGATTGTTTTATCAATATTTACATCAAAAAAGTCAGAAAATTTATCGTCTTTATTTTTGTTAATCTTCTCTAATTTATCAATTTGTTCACGCCTTTCACGCTCTTCAGTGTCAAAAGATTCCTCAAAAGCACTTTCAAAATTCTCATCCCCATCTGTCGATACTGCGGCTCTTCCACGATAAACATTTGGACTTATTGTTTGTACAGAATTGTTAAGAAATTCAGAATCTCCAAATAAATGATTATTTTGTTTGTTAATATCTCTCGTTATTTTAATTTTTGGTGTTGAATTGGTAGTATTTGGAATAGCATAACCACTTTCATCAAAACGAGGATTTTGCATAAGAGGAGGGTCCAGAGCTAAATAATTAATATAAGAAATTGTATTATAATTAAAAGTTGGGTAATTTTAAGCAATCTCGGTTCAAGATGAAGAGACAAAAATCTCGTTTCATTTTCCTCCCCCTCTAAATGTTACATGTATAGAGCTAGGATTTTTAGGCAAATACCTGTTTTTTCACATAAAGGCCTGCTGCTGAAATGTCCTAATCCGGTGTTATTTTAATTTGTGATCGTCAAAATTGGTTTATTTGACAGTCTATTGTCTATATTCAACTTTTTTTCATAAATTTTAGTCTATTTTATGCCTACAAATTTTAGTGCCTATTTTAACAGTTTTTAGTGACTATATAGGCGTCTATTTTCAAGTTTTAGCGCCTAAAAATCCTAGCTCTAGTCATTGGACACAACTCTTTTTAATGAGGTTAAACAAAGAAAAATTCCGGCCCAGTCAAAATAAACTATGTAAATAGCCCTTGAACTCTTAATTTTTTCAATAAAATTTAAAAACCTTTAGAAAATTCAATCTTCCTTTTAGGCCCAATTGTGGTAGCTTCCTTTACTTGAGATGAATTTTTTGTTGTTGATAAACTCACAGAATTGTTAGTACTATTAGCACTGCGGTTAACATTTCGATAAAATGGAATACGTCCTCTATCTCTAGTTGAGGAGGTTGTCGGAACTTTATTGACTTTTTTGGGAGAAAGATCATTGCAACAGAGAACATTATGAAGAGTACGCCCATGCTTAAACGTTTTTGCAGCAACGTTGTTTGGAACAAGCTTCGAATCACGATCCAACAACGATTTTGGAAGTAAACTTTCTGACGCTAAATTAATAGAAATTTGTATAAACCCTAAAAAGAAAACCTTTTAAGTTTGCCATAGTTTTTTGAACCTTTCTTTCCAAGGATTTGTTGTTTTGTGTTGAAGACGTTTGCTGCGTTTGTGGTCGTCGCATTGGAATTATTTTTGTTTATTATTAGAGTAATTTGGAGAGTAATTATATGTAAATACTTCTATAAAATGCTAAAAATAATTATTTATAACTGAAAATCGCACGGCAAAAAAGTCCCACAATAAGTTAAATAAGATTAATTGTAAGGTTGATATGATTAGGCTTTTAAAATTTAAGACAACAAAATTTTTGCATCTTAACGAAAAACACATATGGGGTAGCGAAAAGTTGAAAAAAGAATCTGGATCTGGAGTTTGGAGCCGAAACGCATTTTCTCAGTCTCCAGATTATTTCCAGATCCCGACTATTCTCAGCGGAGGCACAAAAAAATTTTTGCATGGAACTACTCGTCCGGCTCGTACCAGATTATTATTTTCCATACATATCAGAAAGAGTGGAAAATAAAACATTAGTTAGCTTCCTTTTTTAAAGGACTAGCGAGTTCAATGCAGCATTTAGCGCCAAAATAAAAAAAAATATTTAAAAATCGATAAATTAATTTTCAAGAAATTAGAAAAAATTATGTAAAAATTAGAGATCGGGAAATCGCATTCCCAGGATCCCGTAACGGGATTTTTTTTCAACATTTTGAACGGGACGGGATCCTGCGGGATTAATCCCGTAAATCCCGTTTTCCGCGAAAAACCCGGGATTCCGGGACGGGATCCCGTAAAATCCCGTACGGGATCCTGTCCCGTGATCCCCAATGTCCCGTTTGGCCCGCCGTGGTTCCATTTACATATTTACAATTTAAGAATTCATTAAAAAATTTGTCTGACAATGAGTGAATAAATTGGCACGAATAAATTGGCAATTTTAAAAATAAGAGCAAATAGTCAACTACACAAGAGCAAATTTTGTTAAAAACAAGAGCAAATCTGCCCCCTCCCCCCATCTCTGTGGAGTTTATGAGAATTTTGTTTAGCAAAAAATTTTATACTAAACAAAAAAAATTCAAAAAAATTTAAATTCCTTTAAGTAAAATTTAATAAAATTTTTATATTGTTCTTTTGTTATCCAATATTTTGTTTGTCTTTAGATTAGTGTCAGCCTATATAGGTATTTTTCAAATCCGTATTTATCAACAAGCTTATTATTACAACAAAATTAAAACGAGAAATTAAAAAGATGGCAAGTTTGAAAGGTACCTATTTTTCTATTTTTTTCTCTAAAAAACAACTCTTTTTAAACTTAGTTGAGCAAAACTTTTCTCAAATTCAATGTGGAAAGAAGAAACGGTTTGTAATTTTATTCTTCACTAATTTAGTTGGGAGCAGCCTAACTTACCGCAAAGCTATAACTTTGTTCAAAATAGTCAAATCCGGAAACCCTTGGTATGGTTCGATGCACCTTGACCAGCTGAATCGAACCATATCAGGGCGTCCCGGATTCGACCGTTTTGAACGAGGTTATAGCTCTGCGGTACGTTGGGGTGTACCCGTTTAGTTTTTTAATTTTTAGTGACTTTATTTTCGATCGAAAATATATTTTACGTCATCGAATTGATACACTTAAAGAATATACAAGAATTCAACTTTATTTAATTCGGGAAGAACAAAGGAATGCTTTTGGAAATAAAGAGAGTTATTCAAACAAGTTTAAACAATTAATGAATGATTTTGATTTGGAAAAGAAGAAAATAAAGATGGAATTAAATGATAGTGTTGATAAGGTTTTTTGGTTGAAAATATTTTTAAAATATTTTTTTTTTGTATTTTTTAAAGTCAAAATTAATCGATCATTACGTTCAAATGTTTAAACAACAAGAAGAAACTCGTAAATTAATTGCTCGTTTCAAGGCCAAACAAGAATTACAATTTATGGAACGTCGTTATTTTGAATATTCTCCTAATCAGTATTTTTTCTTTTGTTATTTTAATTGATTTATTTAGCTCTCAAAACTTTCCAACATCGTTTATTCAATATTCTCCGATAAGTCAGAAGGAATTGAATAATGATTTGGACATTAAATTTACATCTCGAAATAATCACTTGGTCAATTTTAATTTAATTTTTCTAAATTTTTTTATTAGCTAAATGAATCGATCAACTCATTGTCAACAGATGTTTCTGATGGAATTGTTTCTTCTTTCAAACCATCAGAGAAATCACTTCGTTCAATTCTGTCTCCTATGCCAAGTACTTCATTATGCACTGGTCGTGACAGTTTAAGCCGTCGCCGAAGTTCAGCTAGCGAAGCTCTTGTTAAATTACGTTTAATGAATAATGTTCCGGCTCTTTCAAGAAGTCCTCCTCCTATTAAAAGTCCACCTAGGTTATTAATTTAAAATATTTTTTGAATTTATTTTGGTTTAACAGAGCAACTCCTCGTTCGCCAACAGAACGTTATTTGACAAAATTTCCTCAAAATATTTCTGCCCGAGAATCTATTTGCAATGATGACATTTTAAATTCTCGTCAATCTATTGGGCCTTCTGAACTTCTTGAAGATTTGCCAAATGCAAGTCAGATTGGAATGGTAGGTTTTTTTCTATGTTTAGCTTGAGTTGGCTGAATCCTAATCGGACACTTCGTTTTGCGTTTATTTGCTTATCTTTGATTCCGCCCCTGAACCTAACCTCGGAGTTCCGAAGGATTCTCGGCCGTTAAATATTTACCTATTTTTAGTTTCCAATTCTTCTCCAACCCAAACTTGTAAAATTTCATTTTTTAGGTTCTCGATTTAAGCCATTCTCCTATTACTAGCTTGTCTGATAAAGAATTAATTAAAAAAGATGAATATTTTGAGGAGAAAAAATGTATTGAAAAATATGTTAAATTTCTTTGGAAGAATTTTATGGAGAATGGAGAAATTGATTTTAATTCAATTCCGGAATGGGAAGAGTTTAATATTGAAGAAGGATTTGAGGACAATTTTAGTGACAACTTGAAAATTCCAAAGTAATTTAAGAAAAAATATTTAAATAAAAGGGTTTTCTGTACTAGAAAGTTAAGAAAACATAAATTTAGTTTTTTAACCTTTTCGGGATTGCGGGTTGACTAGAACCAATTTAAAAATCACATAAATCTTTTGGATCCTTTTAAGTATATTTTTACGATTTCTTTTTAAATTCTTTTTAAATTTTTAATATTTCTACAAAATTTTCTTTAATTTTCAATAGAAATTTGCTTCGCCAACTTTGCTATGAACGATGGTTTAATTTAATTCAAAATACAAATTGTCTTTTATCTTCAAAGAAAATTTTGTCTACAGAAGAGAATCTTAAAGATTATTTGCAAAAGGAAGTTCTTTCACTTTTTGTTGACAACAAAAGAGGTAAAAATGAGAATATTTTTTTTCCAAATTTTAATTTTTATTTTTTTAGAAATTTGTCCAAATGGAATAAAATTACGGGCAGAGAAAACTTCTCATTTGGCATTGGATGTTAATCGCTTACTTTTAGCTCAATATGTTTATGAGAATTTAATTGTTTGAAGTTAAAAATATTTACAATTCCAATTAATTTATTTTAAAATGATTAGGGTTGCCAAAATGAACCGACTCGGACCGAAAGATCGAGTCGGGCCCAGATGTTTCTCCCGAAAAAGACTCGTAGCGGTCCGACTAGATAAAAATAAGTCCGAAAAAATGTCTCGACCGTCGGCCCGACTCGAAAACGGCAACCCTAAAAATGATATCAAAAACATTTGCCAATATAAATATATTTATTTTAAAAATATTTTTAATAAATTATAAAGAGAGATCTTTAAAATTAATTGTTAATATTTATTAAACTAATATTAAAATATTTGTAAAAATGTTAGTTATACTCAAATGGGAAACTATGTACATACTTTTGTTAATCAATAAGATTTTAACCTAACAGAAACATACATATGTTTGTCCATTTTTGTGCATTACTTTAAAAACTTGATTTGTTTAAGTGAAGGGTTAATTTAATTAATTAATTTTTCAAAATAATTTTTAGAATTAATGACAACTTGCTCTATTTGCAAATTTGACGTGCCTAGCAGTTTATCTTTTGTAAAATGTTGCAATCACATGGCTCATACAAATTGTCTCAAAAACTTTGTAGCCAAACGTAATTGCTGCCCTAAATGTAGCGAACAAATTACTCAAAGTGATGTTGTTCCAATTGTTTTTGATCCTCCACAACAACAACCAAAGAATTTACAAAATGAGGTTTTGAAAATATTTTTTCTTTTAAATTTGTTTAAAAATTAGGGGAACTCTAATCGTGTTAGTGAAGTGCTAAATGCAGTTTTAGAACGCTTAAAAGGATATAGAACTGGTACTGATCAAGAAGATGCCCAAATTCGACATGTTGGAGAAGCTTTTGACGTAATTTTAATTTAAAGTTTTTATTTAAATTAATTTTTTAGATAATTGTTCGCGCTAAAAATAATGAAAATAATCCTGAAAAACCTTCCACTTCAGACGATGTTACGCCGTTTAAACAAAATGCTTGGGATAAAATTATGAGTATTGTAAAATCAAAAGAAGTTGGGTTTATTGTATTGGCACTCATATTAGGTATTTTTTCTCAATGTTTGAAATCATCTGCTTGTTCAGACTTGGTAATAGACATCTTTGTATCTGTTACGGCGGATATAGACGGATATCCGCATGCATTTTGAACTTATCTTTATCCGTATCCATTACCAAGCCTGTACTTAATCCATAGAATTTTTATCAAAATTTACTAGCGCTTAAAATTAGGCGTTCAATTATTTTTTCATTTAATAACTGATTTTTCTTTAAAATTTTAATCAATTTCACAGCACTTTTGTGTGTCTTCTTTTGGGAAATAGCCGTTTCTGCTGGTGCATTATCCCAAACTACTGAATTTATTGGTGGAGCACTTGCTGCATTACGTTTGTATGCTCCAGGATTGGCTGTCACTTTGTTTGCAGGCATTAAAGCTTTCTTTTCTTTCCGAAAAACTTAAATTTAAAGAAAAAGGAAAAAGTAATTTTTAATACGAAAAAACTCTTTCAATTAAATAAATGTAAATTAAAAAAATAATTTCCTAAATTTGTATTTTGCCTATTGCCTATATATGAATATCTTCACAATAACTATTTTTCAATTAAATATACCTTGGATAAAATATTTTAAATGGATTAAACTTTTAAATTTTTTTAAATTAAATAACCAAACGTGGGTGAGGGGCAACTCAAGGAATTCCAAATCATGGAACGACCAAATCACTGGATGTTTTAAAAATCAGAATTTTTCAAAAATTTTTAAAATTCTGTTTTCTAAAATATTGTAATTTTTAAAAAAATATCCAGATTTTTCAAAAAATTACAATTTTTAAAATATTCCTGTTTTGGTCATTCCGTGAGTTGTCGTTCCTTGTCTTGTCCTTGAGTTAGTTTAGTCCTTTTCTTCCTCGAGTTAGCCCGACATGACCAAACATTTCCTCTGAAAGAAGAATAATCCTGCAATTAGTCTAACTTTTCTAATTCCTAAATTTTTAATAATTTTGAATAAATTTTGTCGATCTTTGCTTAAATTTCACAGGAAATAATCTTGACTGTCCTTAAAAATAATTAAATAATTCCCAGTTTTACTAATCTGTGGATTCATCGTTTTGTATTTTACATGATAACAGAATACTAGGAGTGAGCACCGTCTATCGATCACCTACTAACGGCTCTCTCCAAAATCACGGATATATCCCTAATATTGTTTAGATTTGTTTACTACTTAGTAATTCCCCCCTCATTGTTGTGTTATAATCACAACTGTTTATAACTTTTTAGTTAATTGTCCTAAATTACTAGTTTTTGATCTTTAATTCCTCAAATAATTGTAAACCGCTGCAGGCAATATCCATCCATCATCGATCTTTTCTTTCTTGCTCCTTTCATTCACCTCTTTCTTTTTCTATTATTTGCGGAAGTTTTCCCAGTCAAAGCTAAGTATATCCTCTCAGCTTTTTTTAAATCCAAATTAATCATTCAATAATCTTTTTATTTTAACTTCATTAAAAATTATTATCTTCAATTAAATGTGAGGATACTTTTTAACACAAACTACTCTAAATGTGAGCACAAAGTAAATACGTGAACATAAAATATGAACACACTTTTTGTGTTTAAATGAACTAAAATTAGACTTTGAAATATAAAAATTGTTAAAATAAAATAGATAAATCAGAACATAAAAATTATTTTATTAAGGGACTTTTGTTCATAGATTAACCAAACTTTTGGGTAATTATTTAAATAAAAAGATTTTCTCAATTTAAAATCACAAAATTTGAAAATTATTTTTTAAAAATTGGTACTTTTCCGTAAACGACCCCAAATTAAGTAACAGCCGGATTTGAACAGCTATAAATTTTTGATGCTTGATTCAATACAAATGAATTTTATATCATTCGAAAGCCCTTTATAAGCTCTATCTTTTACCTAACTGTATGAATCAGGTTTAATCACTCATAAATTTATACCCCGATAATAGTGAAAAACAACGATTTCTTGCACTTATCGACTTGTTGCTTTTCTATGAGTGACCAGACCTGATCCATACAATTGGGTAAAAGATTGAGCTTATCGAGAACTTTCGAATTATATAAAATTTATATGTATTGGATCAAGCATCAAACACTTATAGCTGTTTAAATTTCGGCTAATACCCAGTTTGCGGTCGATTAACAGAAAAGTACCAAAAAATTTATTAAAAAAAGCAAAATTAATTTTTAATTATCAAATATTTTCAAATTAAACTAATTTAGTATAATTATTACGTCATTAAATTTGCGAGAAATTAAAAACATTTACTAATATTAATTAAATTAAATTTACTCTCTTTTAATGTGAATATTTAATTAATTAATTTGAAAATATTTTTTTCTAAATTTTTAGTAAAAAAATATTTTTAAATGAGGCAATGGCTATTTCCACAAAAATATTATCATCAAAGCAAATGCAAACATTGTCGAAATAAAAGTTTTTGTAAAAGACATGGAAATATTCGTTTAGTTCACAGAGATGTGTTAGACCCTTGCATGTGGTAAATGAATAATTTAATAAAATTTATTTAAAATTAAAATTATTTTAAAGGATTAATCGACATATTGAGAATCATTATAAACCTTTAGAATTACCCTGGACTTTGTGTTTAAAAAGGTGAATTTATGTTGAAATTAGAAAAAAATATTTAAATTAATTTTTAAATCATTTACAAATACCCGTTTTTCTTCTAATAATGCGGCTCTCTCTATTATACCGACCCCTTCAAATAAACCGACCCTCTAGAGGATGATCGAAAAATAAACCGAACGATCGCACTATTAGAAATACGGTACCAGTTTTTATTGTTTTTTTATGTTTGTTGACTTTTTCCCCAAATATTTAAGACGATTCTCCCGTTATGGGAGAAGGAGAATCTCCCTTCATTGAGGAGGGAACCTTTTGTATTCCTTTATTTTTTATCTAAATACTTGTGATTCTCGTTGTTACCCCCATTCTAAAAGAATTAGCATTAATTTAAAAGGTCTTTTGTAAGAGTCTTCAACCTGAACTGTTTAAATTCTAGGAAAACGGATTTCTAAAAAATATATTTTATTTTCAAGTATTTTCCACTGGAACAATGAAACTTTAAACATATGGACACATTTAATTGGATTTTTTATTTTAACTTATCTCCAATATTGGACTTTATTGGAGGCATTGCCAAGTGTTCAAGCTCCCATAATTGATTATCTAGTTATGACTATGGCAATGCTTTGTTGCCAAGTAAAAATAAAATTTTTCCTCAGACTGTTTCTATAATTCAAAACTTTCCAGCTTTGTATGTTGCTCTCTTCTGCTTACCATATTTTTGGTTGTCACTCTCCCACACGTCGAAAACAATGGTCCTTTACTTGTTTCCCTCTCATTTTTAATTTTTAAAAAAATTTTTAGGCTTAAAGCTGATCTTTTTGGAGTTTCTGCTGCTTTAGTTGGTTTATATATGTCTGGATTGTATACTTCTTTTTACAATTTCCCTGTATTTTTTGTTTTTTTGTTTAAAATTCATTTTCTTTTAAAAGGAAATTCGGCGTTTTTATGGAACTTTAATTGGAGCAATGTCTATAACAACATCTTTATTTGCAACTAGTCGATTTTCTGAAAGAAATACACAAAAAAGAATTGGGTTATTAGAATTACTTTATTTGTCAATGGCTTTAATAGCTATGGCGCCAACTTTGCATTGGATACAGGCAAATTATAAATATTTTGAAAAAATGTTTATGATATTCGGATATACCGATATACTGATATAACCGAGCTCTAATTGAATTGCCTCCATTAGAATTGCCCTTCGGGGCCCGTAGGTAATTCTAGTGTTCGTATCCCTCCCCCCCCCCCTTCCCCCCTTTCTCCTTTTCCTTCCTCAAAGTATTAAAAAATGGTCAGTAGTGTTAGGTTATAGAACTCGGTGAGCTGTGTTGAATGCTACAAAATCAACCCCCGGTCTTAACTTTGGGCCGAGATACAGACCCCCGAAAATTGAAAAATAACAGGGACCAAGCTCATTTTTTGGGCTAAAAATTCGATTAAACAAATAATAGCTCCGGGAGGAGCTTGAATATTAGGATGGTCGGCCGTTTATTATAGAAAAACAGAAATCTTTATTTAACCCTAAATATAATTCCCGAAGTCGTTGACTGACCTAGTACTGTTGTAATAATGTGGACAAACAATAAGTCGTAACAAATTAAAGAAACTTTTATTTTAATCTAATTAATTCTTTTTAGCTTCACGGAGGCCTTTCTAACCCTCACGTTCAACAATGGCTTCCAAATCTTTGCATTTTATTTATTTTATTAGGAGGGGCATTTGCCTTTTACACAACATTATTTCCTGAACGCCTCTTTCCTGGTAGTTTTAAATAAACAATTTTTTTAAATTAAAAAAAAATTTTTAAAGGAAAATTTGATTTAATTGGTTGTTCACATCAATGGTGGCATATTTTTGTACTTGCTGCCATGGTATTTTGGAATTGGTCGGGAATCCAACTTTTAACTTTTTACCATTCAACAACAAATAATAATACATATAATATTTTTAAATAATATAAAAAATATTAGCGAAAATTCTTTTTAATTTAAAAATAGTAATTGTAAATTGTGATAATACTTGAATATATTTATTTATTAGAGTTCGATATTCTCCATTTGCCGGTCCCGGTATCCGGGTTTTTTCTTCCACTCAGACCAGAGCCAGGCTTCCGGGTTAAAAACCAGGAAACCCCAAAAAATCGGATTTTATCAAAATACCCGGTATCCAGGCTACCGGGCTCGGAAAACCCGGTCCCGGGGTCAAACTCTAGTATTTATTTTTTTATTTAATGCCTTCTATTTATTAATGACCTAAATATCTTTTCCTTTTAATTATAATGTAAAATTCTCTTATTTTCTCTTAACAATTTATCTGCCAACAAATCTGTTAGATTTTGGAAATATTTTATTATTTATATATTTTTGTTTAAATTTAATTACAAAATATTTATTTTTAATTTATTCAATTTCTTCTTCCCTTTGTCGTGAAATTAAATATTTACCAACAAAACAAAGAATAATTACAAAAAATATAACAACCAACATAGCTAATAAAACACTTAAAAATTATATTTAATTTAAATTTTGTAAATAATTATTTTTACATTGCCCATGTTTGTAGATTAAAACAACATTCAAAAGGATAATTTTCGCAACAAGTCCAATAATGAATAAAAGAGCCATCCCCACAACTGGGAAATTTAATTTAAAAATTTAATTGAACTTCTAGATATTTTATTTTTTAAATTTATATTTTATTTCAAATATTTTGAGATTCAGTATGAATAATACTGAGAAGAAACCCTTTCTGGCACTAATAATTAATTTCCAAATTTAATTTAAAAAATTAAATATCAGTTTAAGGATGATTCACCTAGAGCATTTAATTAAGCATTAAGCATTTTTCTTAAAAGGACAAGAGGTCGTCGCCCCGGTAGCTCAATAGTAGAGCTCCTGTATGTGGAAAAACGCCTAGCAATAACTACGAGGAGGTCGCAAGTTCGAATCGTGCCCGGTGGCTAAACTTTTGCTAAACTCTTCTTTCCTCAGTTAGGTTTTTTGTCAAATATTAAGAACTAACTACTCTATCTCTATTTAATTATTTCCCAATTATATTAATATGTATCAATATACTTACACTTCACCAATTCCCCCAGCAGGTCCATAATCTGGAAAAACGCCAGGAATTCCAGAAATACTTGTTGGATTTAATGGACACGAAAATATCTTTTTTTAATAATAAATTAATAAAAAATAATTTTTAAAAAATATTTACCGATTGGGTAGCATTATTTTGATAAGAAATAATAAGAATAATTGTTATTAATTTAAATATTATTTTGGAAAAATTTAAGAATGATGAGGATATTGGATTTAAATATTGAATAAACATTTTTTTAATTACTCTAAAAGTTTATAAAAAATTAATAAAAAATAAAATTTAATTTAAAAAATTTGTTGGACAATTTTTCTAATTTTAAAAGTTCAAAAATACAAAATAAGGTATTAATAGAAGGTACCTTAGGTAATTCCTAAAATAATTCCTAACATAGATTTTGCATATTACAAATTGTTAGCAAATAAAGCCTTAAAACACATTTTTTCATTAATAAATACCGTAAATTCTCTAATAGAAGCACACACTCTACGAGAGGTGTCTGCTTCACACCCTACGAGAGGATTGAAAAATAGAAGCAAATTTGCTATAATTAGAGAATTTACGGTATTTTGATCAAATGTTTGAGGGAATTTAAAGAGTTTGTGGAAAACCTATCAAGATAATGTGCCCTTATAATATAATTAAGCTTAAAATAATAAATTAACTTTCCCTAATAAGATGAATTAATAGAGTTAATTTAATAACTTTACCATTTAAAAAATCTGTGTTTATTAAATATGAAATTTAATATAAAATATTTTTTAGTCATAAAACTTTGGAATTTTTATTGTTTCTATATGGCCATTATATTAAATACATAGTACTCTAATAAAATAACAAAAAAATGTTTATCGGCCTAAAACCTTCAATTCAACTATGCGCATCATCAAATCCCTTCCCTCCCCCTTCAATTCTCCAAATCCTCTATTTCCCCATTATTCAATTCTTTTTTAATATTTTAGAGACAAATAAAAATATTTTGAAAAATATTGTGAATAAACAATTCCTGTATACGTAAATGAATAAAACACAGAACCGGATTTAAATATTTTAAAGGACATATGGGCAATAAAATAATGAGTATTACCTAGATTTTTATTTTTTAAATGGCCGGTAGTATAATAAACAAGTAGATGCAAGATAGTTGCTTCGCAGGAATCGCGAATTTGGCCGGAACGGAACCAAAAAATCTTGGAACTTCTGGCAAAACACTACAAGATAGCCAAAAATTCTGTTTTGTTAGTTAATAAAATTTTAGTAATTATCTGGGATTTATCAAATTGAAAGAAAATTTTGATATGAACTAATTCTTTTACTCCTTCTTGTCTTTAAAACTTTAAGAATTTTAAATTAATATTTTAATTGTTATTTTAATTTATTTCAATAATTAATAAAATTTAAAAAAATATTAAACATTTCTGTGAATATATTTTAAGCTTTATTATCTACCATAACCTACATATTATAGCAGGCTTTTAATCTTCTACGGATTACCGAGAGAAGAATAAATTAAAACAAGTAAATATTTTTTAAATTTTTTAAAAAATTTGTAAATAAAATTGTCTTTAATAAATTAAAAATGTTATTTATTAATTTTCAATTAAAACAAATAAATTTATTTATTTTCACATTTTTTATTTTATGTCAGTATATTCCCCCTACTAATTCACAAGTTATATTTTTAAATACAACTGAAAGTCCAAAACTTTGGATTGACCCTCCAAATTTGGTTGAATTTAGAATTGGTTATAAAAGGTTTTTAATATTTATTTATTTAATTTACCAAGGCTGATAAAATTAAAATAATAACCTTTAATCAAGGCTACTTGGATAAGAAAGAAAATAATTATAAGTAAAATCCAATGATCCTATCCAATGATCGTATGCTTAAGAAGATCTGACGATTAGTTAGTTATTACTTTAAATAAAAACGACCGGGCAGAGGCTATCTAAAATAAAATTGCTTGAATGTTCCCCCGTTACCCATATTTATTTTATTTTTTGATAAACAAAATAATAACAATTATTTCCGGTTCCGGGCTGTTTCAAAATTTTGTAATTGAGACATCTCCGGAAATACTTCGAATTAAAATTAATTATTTTTCAAAAAAGGGCAATATGGTTAATTGTATATACAAACGAAACAGCTTGGTCAGGACAAGTAATTATTAATTGTGAATGGCCAAAAATTAATTGTCCTCTGAATGAAACGGAATGTCCAATAAAATATTCTGTACAGTTGGACAAAGAAAATGAATTTGCCCAATGGATTAATATTAACATTAGTGGAAAGTTTGTTGGATTAAATAAAATTAAAGTTGTTGCAGGAAAGACGTTAGTTGTTGAAATTATAATATAAATTTAATTATGTGTAATTTTTTGTAAATAAACTGTGAATTTACTCGATTAACTGAATTACTTAATTATTTTTACAATTTATCTCTGAATAGGTTAATCAGTCGAGTAGATATAATGATTTAGAGAATTTTAGAAATTTTAAGACAATATTGTAATATGCACCATTAGAAGACCCCTTTCGTTTTTTATTTTCAAACAGTTAATTTCTACTTTTTTGTTTTAAATTAAAATCAAAACTAAAAATTGTTAAAAAAAATTTTTTAGAGAATTTTTCTATCGAATCAGAACATCAAAAACTTTAATTTACTCAAAATTAACAAATTTTTTGATTCCTGCTTTTGGAATTTCCATTGGGATTGGAAACTTTCTAACAGGTTTACAACTAAATATTGGCGAAGATGGATTACAGCCACTACCTCTATTAATTATTTTTTTATGCCAATTTATTTTTAAACCTTTGGTTGGATTTGGAATATCTAAATATTTAATTATTAGCCATCCTTATGTTACTCGACTCGCATTTTTCCTCGTTTGTTGTTTGCCTGTTGGGGCTTCTCAAAATGGATTTTGGTGGGATAATTAATTTTAAAAGAATAAAAAAATGTATGAAATAAAATAAATTCAACAAAAAAACGATAACTCAAAATCTGACAATAAGATTGATAATTTTCCTTTATAATACCGTAAAACCTGTATTAATTGCCCTCCCTCAAATAATTACCCCACTTCTATTAATTACCCCATCCAACGATATATTGAAACAATAATTACCCCCATCAAATGCCTTAAAACACTTACAAATTCCAAATTTCGTATAATTACCCTCCCTCGATTAATTACTCCCTCCAGTGGAAGGTCGAAATTGATTACCCAGGGTAGTTACTAAAAGTTTTACAGTATATTGAATATACTTATGAATATAATTAATGAATTCATTTATAGCTCGGTAGCAAATGAAGTAGTATTTTTAATAAACACATATGTAGTAGTAGAAATATGTATAAACTTAAATTATTTAATTAAACAGGGCAATTCTGTTCAATGGAAATAAAAATTTAATTGACGGAATAGCGCTTATACAAAGGATTGGAATTATTCGTACATATATTTTTTATAAAAAATATTTATTTTTTCTTTTAAGTTTTTCTTCCTTTTTGGATTTATTTTGTTGGAAAACGTTCATTTTTTGTAGAAAGAGTAAATATTGGAATATTTCCATTAATTTATTGTCTTCTTTTAATTTTAATCCCTTTCTTTTTTGGAATTTTAATGTCAAAATTGGGATGTCAAAAATTATTATTACAAAAATATTCAAAATATTTAAAGGTTGAACAAAATAATTTTTAAATTTAAAATTTATTTTTTAAAGCCTTTTGCCTTAATTGGAACTTTAATTTTTATTTTATTAATTTTAATCACAACTTGGCAAAATTTTTTTCTTCTAAGTTGGGATTTATTGTTTTATATTGGATTTGTATTGCCCTTTACTTTTCATATATTTGCTTTGATTTTATCCAAAATATTTTGTCTGAAAGTATCATCAACAAAAACTATAGTTGTTGAGTGTGGGATTCAGGCAAAGAATTATTTTATTTTTAAATTTTGAAATAACAAGGGAGCTTATAAACAGATTTACTGACACGAATAGATTATTTATTTTTGATAATGGAGCTGAGTAGTCTACATCCGCCTTTTGTCGTCGTCGTCGTTCCCGCACAAACCAAAAGGATGTGAAATGGTCGGAGGAAAAGTCAAAAGGATAAGAAGGGGTTGGAGGGAAAACCAAAGGAAAATTAGGATTTTAACAGCTGTTTTGAGGGAAACCCTAAGGGTTTACAAGTGGTTGTGGGGGAATCGTCGCGCAAAACTTAAAGGTATGATTGTCGTCTTAATTAATCATTAATCACTTATCATAAACCTCATAAATCAAAAAATTACAAGTAAAATCTGTACTTGTCACTTTTTATGTTTATTGGAATTTGTCATTGGATCAAAAGAAAGAAAATTTTAATTGTCGTTGTCAATCAAAGTGTTAAAACAAAATATTTTTAATTGCAAAATCTATTTCATAATTATTTTTTACAAACTCATAAATCATAAAAAATGTTTTTCAAAAACAAAAGTTAAAGGGGCGTGGCATAAAAATTGTTAACTGGATCAGGTCAATATAAAATCATGTAAATCCAACGGTCATTTAATAAAAATTCATTTAATTTTTCATTATAAAATATGGCCTTAAATTTAAAAGACAAAAAATCGCTCTCCCAACAAATTCTTCCTGAAGTTGATTTTAATGTTACGCCTACAGGAATTACTATTTCTGCCTCTGACCGCTTATCTAATCCGAGATTTATTCCTTTTAATCATCCAGGCCGTTGCCGTGAATGTAAATCAACAGAGGTAGAAATTGATTTTATAGTTACAAAAGAAGGTGTCACCATCTTCTGTAACCGTGTTAAGGGAAATCAATTCGTACCCTTCGATACTATTTATGAACTTCCAGGTCATTGTTTTTTCAAAATTAAAAATAAGGCGCGAGTTGTTAATATAAATCATAGTACTCCTGTATCAACTCCTATTGATCATTTCCTTAGTCAAAATCATGTTGAAAAATCAAAAGAAATTTTTCCTTTAGAAATACAGGTGAAAACTGAGGAACCAGCAATAGAAGAGGTAAATGAAGAAAATAGAAAGAGACGAAGTACAAGTGAGCCTTTGATTGAAGAAATTCCAATTCACTCACCAACTTTAGCACAAAATTTAAAAGATATTATTTACCCCACTTCTGTTTAATTTTATTAATAATTTAAAATTATAATGGATTTAATAAATTTTTTGAATAAAGATATTAAATTAAAATTGCCTTTTGGATTAATAATTTCAGGCCCAAGTTCTAGTGGTAAAAGCACATTTCTTTTAAAATTTATTTCCCAAACTGATTATTTGATTCACCCAACGCCAAAAAGTATTCTTTATTGCTTTGGAGAAATGAGTTCAATCGTTCCTATACTTCAAAAATCTGGTATTAGTGTCTATGCAGGTGTTCCCTCAGAAGATGTCATAAGTAAATTACTCAAACCTTCTCTAATAATTCTAGATGATCTTTTACTTTCAATTGATGAAAAATATTTGTCAGAACTTTTTACAAAAAAGTCCCATCACCAAAATTTTGGAATAGTCTTTGTCACACAAAATTTATTTGAGAAAAAGATAAAAGTGGCTAGACAAAATGCACAATATATTATTTTAATGCGATCACCCAACTCTGCCCTTTCCATTCGTAATATTGGTGTACAGCTATTTCCAAAAAATCTAAATTATTTTCTTGATTCTTATCATCAAGCAACAAAAATACCTTATGGGTATCTGTTAATAGATATGCATGCCTCCTCTGATCCTACACTACGTTTAAGAACAAACATATTTAACGATGACGAAGAAAAAATAGTATTCATTCCTAAAAATGGTAACTAAAAATCATTGTACTATTAGTCCCTTAATTGATAACAATTTCGAATTTCTTAAATGTATTGCAAAGACAAAATTTGACAGAAAAAGACGTCGTTTACTTAAAAAAGCCCAATCCCATCATCTTCTCGCTATTGTGGAAGTTTGTATGAATATTCTAAAATCTAGGTTTAATCTTACAGTGCGTCAGAAGAAACGGCTCTTACCATATGCAGATTTTATTCGTCAGCTGGGTCGATCTAGAAGTGAGAGAGGCGCAAGAAAGGTTTTATTGCAGAGAGGAAATGGGATTGGAGGTGTTTTCGCTGCGCTTCTCACTCCCATTCTTATAGAACTAGGAAAAAATATTATAAAAAGCGATCTATTTTGATAATTATTTTCATTTTAATTAATTAATATATTTTCATTTAATGGCTAATAAATTTATTCTTGTTCCCGAGGATATTTATAAAGGTCTTACAAAATATGACATAGGGGAACCAAATCTAGATTTTGTTCGACGCAATCTTTCAATTAATCAGGGAAAACATAAGGATGCAAAAAATATCAATTATAATCAAACACTTAGACAATATTTGCATCTTAGGAATGAAAGAGAAAACAGACCAGTAAAAGTTGAATTAGTTACAGACTCAAAAGGTGTTATAGTACCAAAAACTACTAATACAGCCCCTGCTTCACATATTTCAAATGATCGTGGTAACGAGGACGATTACTGGTTATCTGATGACTTGTCCTCTCTTCCAAGAGATCCGCAGCTTCCTTTGTATAACATTGTTCCACCTCTTACGAATTCATCTTCTTCCTCTAAACTACAAACTCGGAAAAAGTTAATACAAAGGGGACCTTCACCTCCTCATCCTATTTTTCGTGTGCTTTCAAAGAGAAAAATAAGCGAGACCGGCAATGATGGTCAGATTATGAGGGGTAAAAAATTTAAAGAAAATCTTCGCGGTGAATTAAATGACGATAAAAAGGTTATACAGGAATCTGCAAGTAGACGAGAAAAGAAGAAAAAAGATTATGAAAAGAAAAAGAGAGTTAAAAATATCAGAACAGATATCCCTTTGCAAAGTAATAAAAATGATAATATCCACGAGGCTATTGACGCTCCTCTTGTAAATTCTCCCCCTTCGTCACTTCTAGCTGCAAAAAGGGTTCAATCCGAGAATTTTGAAGGTAGAAAGAAAAGAAAAATTAGTAATGAAGAAAGGGAAAAAATTTTAATAGTCGAAAAAAGGAAACAATTATTGGAACGGATAAGAGCTAACAAGAAACTTAAAATCCCTCTTGACCATTCTGTAATGCATGATTTACGGCAGAATGATGAAAGTATAAATAAAATAAATAAAAAAGGTCGATTAATCATTAGAGATGGAAGATCACCTTCGCCGCTTTTACCGCGTAAAAAATTTAAACGAAAATGGGAAGGTATTGAAACATTAGAACAAAAAAGACCGAGAAAACCAGTTTCAAAGAAACAATCTGAAAAATCTGGTAGACAATGGATGGAAAGACTTATAAATGCTAAACGTAACGAATTAAAAAGAAATAAATTTAAACCTTCACTTTGGTAATTTAAATAAAATAAATGGCTGATTACACGAAACTTTTAAATAACTTGTATAATAATCCAAATTCACCTGCAGCATATAGTGGTATTGATTCTCTATGGCATGAGGCGAAGAAAGTTTATAAGCATATCCCAAGATATGTTATTGAACATTTTTTGGAAGGACACCGAACCTATTCTTTAATGCGCCCAAGGAGAGTAAATTTTAAACGAGCACGAACAATAGCCTCAGGATTTATGACTGATGTGCAGGTTGATTTAGCAGACATGCAATCTTTAGCTCAACATAATAAAGGGAATCGGTATATTTTATTAGGAATCGATGTTCTTTCGAAAAGATTATTCGCGACTCCTTTAAAAACAAAAGGTGCTAAAGATGTCATTGAAGCTTTTAAAAAACTTTTTGAACAAATGCCTATGATACCATATAGAATATTTTCTGATAAAGGCAAAGAGTTTAAGAACAAATTAATTGATGAATACTTTGAACAAGAAGATATCCATAAATTAGAAGCAACCCATTCAATAGTAAAAGCCTCACTTGCCGAACGTGCCATTCGGAATTTAAAACAAAGACTTTATCGCTATTTTTCACAAAATAAATCATTGAATTGGATTGATGTATTAGTACAAATTATTGACGGAATTAACCATTCAATATGTAGAGTTCATGGAATGCGCCCAATTGATATTAATTTTGAAAACGCTCAAAAAGTTTGGAAAAAAATATACGGGAATGCTCTTTCTACAAAATCTGTTAATAAAAATTATAAGAAATTTAAGGAAGGTGATTATGTTAGAAAGAGTTTTGAGAAAGGCCAGTTCGAAAAAGGATATATTCCTAATTGGGGAGATGAAATTGTGCAAGTTGATAAAATTATAGGCCATTCAAAACCAATAATTTACAAATTAAAAAATAATTTGGGTAATAGAATTAAAGGATCATTTTACAAAGAACAATTAGCTAGAGTTAGAAAGGATGCAGAAACTGAGTATCGAATTGAAAAGATTTATCGTAAACGAACTAGAGATGATGGAACTAAAGAAGTGTTAGTAAAATTTATAGGGTATCCGATACGAGAATGGATACCTGAAACAGAGTTAGTATAAATAGTGTTAACCTTTTTTTATTGTATCATTTTTATTCAAAAATAAAATGTCAAATTCTTTTTTTGTATTTTTACCTAGTAACGTTTCAGATTATCCTGAAAATCAGCCAAATAGTTTTCGTGTCCATTTACCTAAATCGATTTTCTTTAATGGCGATTGGGTTTGTGGACTACATAGTATTTCGTATCCTTATTCTTGGCCATCTACAATTGGAACATTAGATGATCAATGGATAAAAATTCATATAATAGATTCAGATATAAATAAACATGTTTTAAAAATTCCTGTACCCAAAGCTTCACATAATACTACAGAAGCATTACGAGATTTTCTTAATGCGAACTTGGAACAACAAAGTAAAGAACCTGATTTGATCTTTGCGCCAAAGGGTTTAGGAAAAGAAAATATTCAGTCTCCCCCAAGAAAAAATAGGAAAGAAAGAGATGTAGAGCTTAAATCACCGCCTTTATATTTTCCAGGTGAAAATTGTGAACCAGTTTCGCCACCAAAAATATCTCCTGAAAAATCACCACTTCGAAGTTTATCTCCAAATTTAGAAAAGGTAAATGAGGAGTTGATTTTTGCATCGAAAGGTTCTATTCAGTCTCCTCCAAGAAACAATAGGAAAAAAAGAGATACAGTGCTTAAATCACCGCCTTTATATTTTCCATCTGAAAATAAAAACGTCGAACCAGTTTCTTCACCCCCACTGCTAAAATCTTCCGAAAAATCTTCACCTCGAGTTTTATCACCAATAGTAAAAACTGTAAATGATGAGACAACTCTTTCACCAAAACCTTCTGAAAAATTGCCCCCTCAACCATCGACTCCTCGGATAGAAACGTTAAAGGATAATCCAATTCTCTCACTAAAGTCTAATGAACAATCACCTCCTCGTGTTTTGACACCTGTAAAAGCTTTAACACCACCACCACCGGATCAAATAGTATTAGACCAAGACTCACCTATAAGAAAGAAAAAGAAAATTGATACCCCTCCTCGACAACTTTCGTCGGACACTTTAGAAGAAAGAAAAGAAACAAATATTTCCTTTGAATTATTTAAAGATATTACATGGACTGAAAAGATGGAAAAGGTCCTAACATTTATCTTAGGACATACACCTACACCTAATGAACGTCAAAAATACAGTTCAAATATGCCGAAACTTATTTCTACATATGAAAAATCAAATCCCAGTCAAATTGATTTATCAATTCAAGAACAAGTTATTAAATCTATCAAATTTCAATATAACTCAAATTTTGGACGATTTAAAATTGTTTTTGATCATCCTAGCATAAATTATATCTCATTATCTCCTCAGCTCGGATATGTACTAGGATTTGAGAACCCTCATTTTGTACAAAATAATGAAATTGCCAAGTATGGATGTGATCTAAAGGGAGGATTTTCAAGTTTTGCGGTTTATGCTAAAGGGTTGACTGAAAATATGATAATTGGTAATTCATTAAGTTCGCTTCTTCGTGTCGTCTCAGTTTCAGGAGCAACGCCTGGGGAATATAATGAAAAGATTTATGACACTCCTATCTACGCTCGTGTTCTTCCTAGAGAGATCAATGAAATAGAAATTGAGTTAAGAACATTAGATAACGGACGTCTTATACCTTTTTCATATGGAATAGTTTTAGTTGTTTTGATTTTTAAAAAAGTTTTAAAATTTTGATCAATATAAAACCACATTTTATTTTTAAATCATTTCATTTTAAATAAATTTTTAAAAAATAATGGTTCATATTTTATTTGATACTACGAAAGTTGGCTATGATGATTTTATTCAGACGGGTACCGGAATTGAATCAGAAAATACTTATAATTTTTATAGAGGCCTAGCGCCTTTTCAAAGAGGGTATGGATTACAAACAGGGGCTGGAATAGGCGATATCCTTCGTGGACTTTGGCGCTTTTTTCTTCCCATAGCCCGACGTGTTGGGACAACAGTTACATCTGAAGCGTTAAATACAGGCCAAAGGATACTTGAACGTGTAAATGAAGGAGAACCAATTAAAAGTGCACTAAAAAGTGAAGGAAAAAAGGGGATAGACTTGTTATTGGAGAAAGGGGGAATGTCAAAACAGTTTGGTTCCGGGACGAAACGTATAAAAGGAAAACGAAAATCGTCATTTTCTTCACATCAAACATTAATTGGTAAACCATTTAAAAAGAAACTTAGATCAGACGCATTTGGACTTTATTAATAAAAAATGGCTTTTCACAAAATTGATGGCGATAGTATTAATTCAATTACAAATGCGATAGACTTTTTCCAAGTTCCCCCAACAAATGTTAGCATATCCTCAACTAAGATTTTTGAAATTCTACCTAGTAACCCTCTTACAGACACACCATATCACTTTAAAATTCACTCAAGCAATAATTACATTGATCTTACGAAATGTTATCTATTAACCGAGTTTAGAATCCGGAAAGAAAATGAGCATGGATTATACATAAATTTACATCCAACGGATAATGTATCACCTATACAAATGATCGGTCATACTTTTATGAATAATATGAGAATTACTATAAATGGCCGTGAAGTTTTTAATTCAAACTCTTTAATGGCATATAAATCCTACTTTTCTCATGAATTAACCTTTCCTATGCATGCAAAAAATTCACATTTATCAGTTTCTGGTTATTATGGTGACAATGGATTAAGTTTAGAGTCTGGACCAGGATATGATTCAAGAAGAGTTAGGTTTTCTGAAAGTAAAACAGCGCAGTTTATGGCAAAAATTGATGCAGATTTATTTAACCAACCCCTTTACTTGATAAATCAATGTGAAGTTGATATAGAAATTTTGCCTAATGATACCCGATTTTTACTTATCACACCTCCACAACAACAGGCTACTCGATATAAATTTGAGGTACTAAATTGCAAACTTTATGTAAAAAAAGTCGATTTAATGGATGGGCTTGCACTTGATATTGCTCGTAAATTGGAAATGAAACCAGCCCGTTATGCATTAAGAAAATCACTTATGAAATCACTCTTTATTAGTCAAGGACGTTATGAATTTAATGCTAATCTTTTTATGGATCAAGTTCCCAGAAGAATTATACTTGGACTTGTTGCTAATAGTGATTATGTAGGAAATATAACAAGAAGCCCTTTTAATTTTCAACATTTTCATGTTCGAGAAATAAGTATTGTAGCAAACGGTAGATCATATCCCCAGGCAGCTTATGACCTTGATTTTCCTCTTGGAAAATTTGCACGCCCTTTTAATGATATGAATGAAGCAATTGGATTTTCAAACACTATGGAAGGTAATGGTATTACTTTCGAACAATACGCTTATGCGCATTGTATCTATGTTTTTAATTTAACAAATAGTGGAGATGATCAAAGCGGACTTTTTGATCTTATTAAAAATGGTACAACGGCTGTAAATATTAAATTTAGTAGCCCGGTTCCCGATGGAGGTATTATGTTGATTGTGATGGGAGAAGCGGATTCATTAATTATGTTAGATAGGAATAGGACAATTACTAGTGATACTACAATCTAATTATTATATTCATTCATTTATATATTTTTCATTTTAAAATGCATAAATATTTTTTCTTAATTTTCCTTCTGTTTAATTATTATTTCTATATTCAAGCTGATGTTGAATTACCAGAATATTCAGAGTATTTGAGGAATTTATCTCACCCTAAATTGATGGCTAATCAGCCTCAATTTCCTAGTATTCAATTATGTAAAGAAACCCCACAAAACTTCGCCTCATCGATATATTGCTGGATCATTCTTATTCTTTATACATTAATAGTACTTAGTTTAATTGTTTATCAAATTAGATCAATTTTTTGGTTTAAAACTAAACTCCCACTAAGTCGACGAAACACGAAAGAAAAATTAAATTTGGATGAATTCAAAACAAATAAATCAAATTTTGAATACAAATTATCAAACAAAGAGAACATTTAAAGGGTGTCTTCCTTGTGATCTTTTACCGAAAGCAGATGATATAAAATATCCTGCGTCATTTGTTGTAAACTTAGACTCGCACGAACTAAAGGGATCACATTGGATAGGATTATACATTGAAAAGAGATATCATCCTGTAATTTATTATGATAGTCTTGCTTTACCTATGAGTAATTGTATTCTAAATTCATTTCTTAAACACTTTCAAAAAACAATTAAAAATTTGAGACCCTATCAATCACCTTTAAGCAAAACTTGTGCATTACATACCATATGTTTTATCTATTATCTTTCTACAGGAATAAAATTTGACCAATTTTTAAGAATGATGGATTTGATTAATGACAATGATTTATTTGTTCAAAAATTTGTAAAATTAATAATTAAAAACTGAAATTTAATATAAATTTGTAATAAATCATTTAAAATTTGTTGGTAATCTTTTTGATATCATTTTATTTTGGAATTTTGGTTTTTATAAAAAATAAATAATTAGTAAAGTAAAAATGTTGGGTTTTTTTGACTAAAGATTATTTTATAACAACAGTTGTCGCATTTCATAAACTAAAAGTAAAAAATTAAAGCTTGTAGACATTTCTTAATTAAAGATTATTTAATAAAAACAAAAGTAACAAACGGTATAAAATATTTCTTCGGTATCTCGTAAATCATTTTATAAAAAGACCAAAAATTAGAAAATATAAAATTTGTTAAATATTTATTTCATTAGTATTTCTTAAAATTCAAACAAAAAACATCGATAATTTATTTATAAAAATAATAAAAATGGAAGCCGTTCCTTGCAAAAAACCTAGATTCTTTATTGAAAATTTAATTCCCGAATCATTTCATCAAGTTGGAGCAGGAAATATAAATTTAAATAATTATGTATCGAAACTTGAAAATGCCGTTGAGAATAATAAAAAATTCAAATACATTAAAATCAAGTCAAAGTTTTCAATAAAAAATCTACCAGTTGACCCGGAAGATCTGCTTGCAAAGCTTTTTCAATATTGTATAGATGAGTCAATTGATTATAGTAAGGAAAATGGAATTAACCCTGATCACCTTGGCTGTCTGATCACCAGTGAACTTTTAGAATCGGACATCTGGGTTCCGATTCGTGAAATATCATCGAACACAGTCGATACAATTTTGAACAGCTTTTTGAAAGTTGCGCAAAGTAAGAAGCAAAATGATATAACTCTATGGGGAAATCCTTTTAATGTAATTGTAACAACGGCTGATAGGAAAAGCCTTCCCGATAAAAGAAATATTATAGGTGGTGCTCCTCCAAGAAGACTTGCCCCTATTCATCACCAGATTAAAGATCGAAGTCTGATACGAATAATGAATCCTGATAATCACTGTCTTTTCTATGCTCTTCAAGCAACAGTTGTTTATTCTACTCGAGGATATACTCGTTCACAATTTTATGATTTTTTGTATGGAAGACGTGCTTCACGTGGAAAACTTCAAAATGAAGCCCATGAATTAATGAAGAAAGTAAATGCCCCCTTAGGATTAAATGGGTATGAAGCAGATACATGGGTCCCTCTAGTAATTGAATATTGGAATAATGCTTTGTTTGTTGGAAAATTTCGTCTAAAGGTTTTCATTTTTGGCTCTATTGGTCATTACAAACCGATATATAAATGTGGACCTGATGATTATGATACACCAATTTTAATTTATTTCAACAATAATCATTTTGATGGTGTACGCAAAGGATCAAGTTTATTTGGAACACATTATTGTTTAACTTGTGAAATACCATATGATCGGGCTGATAGACATTTAAATATATGTAAATCGAGATGTATCAAATGTTCTAGAGTTGGACCTCTTTTTCCATGTGAACCACAACAGAATTTTAGGAAATATTGTAACTATTGCAACAAATTGTTTAATAATAAAGAATGTTTTCAATATCACAAAAACCATCGATTTTGTCAAAAATCTAAACAGTGTGAGCTTTGTGGAGTCATCTGGGATGTTGAGGACAATACAAGAAATGGCAGAGAAGGTCATGTTTGTTTTGAAAGGTTTTGTAACACGTGCTTCAAATATCACGATGCTAAGAAAGGATGTTTTATCAAACAGCTACAACCAAGAGATCAAAAGCCCTATAGAATCGTAGCTTTTGATCTAGAAACAATGCAGCACGAATATATTGATTCATCGTCTAAAAATAGAAAACATATTGCTAATTTTATTTGTGCGAAAATCACATGTGCTCAGTGTATTTACAATGAAATCTGGAATCAAAGCCTGTTAGAAAAACCATGCAAAGTCTGTGGTCCCCACCGAACAATCACCTTTTCTCAGAGGAATTTTAATGGTACCATTGTGGACAAAAAAGTTATAAATAATCAGCCATTGACAGCTTTTGTAAAATGGATATTGTATGAACTACCAATAGAATATGACACAGTAGCATATTCTCATTTTGGGGGAAGATTTGATATGGTTTTAGTCTTCAGAGAGATATTTTTGGAAAGGATTAATCCTGAGATGATAAGAAGAGGAAATAAAATGTACGAAATGAAAGTGAAAAGAAGAGCGAAAGTTAATCCAAATATTATCTTCAGAGACTCTTTTAATTTAATTCCAACTTCTTTGGCATCATTGGTCCCTACATTTGGCCTTGAAGTTGAGGATAAGCCATTTTTTCCTCATTTGGCAAACAAACCAGAAAATTACGGAAAAAATATTTATCCCACTCCTGAAGATTATATTGCCGATGGCATGATGGTCGATAAGAGAAAAAAATTTAATGCATGGTATGATCAGAACAAAACAGTACCCTTTTTATTAGATGAAGCTCTTGCTTCTTATTGTACGAATGATGTAGAAATTTTGACTGCAGCTCTTATAGCGTTTCAAAAAGAATTCTTTGAAGTTTCAAGACGAGAAGTTGAAGGAAGTGGAATTGATGTTTTGAAGGAATCAATGACTATAGCAAGTGCATGCATGCGCCACTTCAGAATGAACCATTTGAAGGAAGACCATTTGGCCATTGTCCCTGAAAGAGGTTATGAGAAGAAGGATAATCAAAGTTTATTGGCATTAAAATTTCTTCAATGGTATGCTGAAAAAAATGGAGTTCAAATTCAAACAGCGTCAAATGGAGGAGAGAAACAGGTTGGAAATTTTAAACTCGACGGTTACATTGAAGAGAAAAAATTAGCCATTGAAGTGAATGGATGCGTCTGGCACGCATGTCCAAAGTGTTATCCCGAAGATATTACATTAATGCCAAATGGAAAGACTGCCGGAAAATTAAGAGAGCATGGAAAGGAACGTATTGAATATATTGAAGGTCAGGGAATAGAAGTAAAGATATTCTGGGAATGTAAAATTTTGAAAATGCTTGAAAAGGATAAAGAAATGAAAAAGAAGTTCGATGAGTACTTAGATGATGGACCTTTGGATATTCGTGCTTCGTTCTTCGGTGGAAGAACTGGTCCTCTAAAATTATATCATGAAGCAAAATTTGGAGAAAAAATTTCATATTTCGACGTAACTTCGCTTTATCCCTATATTAATTGTACAACAAAATATCCAGTCGGACATCCAAAAATCCATATTTTGAATGAAGGAATCCATTGGACAAAATCTGACGACAATCCTTATAAACTCGCCCTTTTAAAAGTATTTATAATCCCTCCTCGGAAAATAGACATTCCCGTTCTTCCTGTAAAATTTGACAACGAACGGCTGCTTTTTCCTTTATGTAAATCTTGTTCAAAAGAATTTCCGGAGGGAGCAGTGAAGCAAAACTATACCTGCTCTCACAATGATCAACAACGGGGGTGGGTATGTACATGTACTTCAATAGAACTTGAAGCAGCGCTTGAAGAAGGATATATTGCTACAAAAATTTTTCGTGTACTTGAATATACAGAGTCTGATGATCAACTTTTCCGTTCATATATGAGCGAATTTATGGCGCAAAAAATCCATTCCTCTGGATTTGATGAAAATATTAAAGGAAATAAAGAAGCTGAAGATAATTTTATTAAAGAATGCGCCGAAAATTTTGGGATCCACATTGATCCAAATTTAATGATTCCAAATAAAGGAAAGCGAGCTCTTGCAAAATTGGCAGTCAATAATTTATGGGGGAGGTTTTCACTGAGAAATTTTGGAATGTCTCAGTGTTTGATCACTGACAATCCTTCTGAACTTGGAAAATTTTATGATGATAAGAGTATAGAACTTGTATCTATTGATGAGTTGACAGCAGAAACTATATTAATTAGTTATATTAAAAAGAAGGAATGGGTGGAAGAGCATGATTGCTCTAATGTTATAATCTCTTTATGGACTACCTCGGCCGCAAGGCTTCACTTGTTAAAAGCAATGAAAAAGGTAGTAAGATCGTCCGGCTGCACTCTCTTATATACGGACACTGATTCTATTATATATGCCCACCCTGAAGACCAAAATCCTTTACAACTTGGGCCACATTTGGGACAGTTTACCGATGAATATCCCCATCATAATATACTTGAGTTTTGTTCAGGAGGAGCAAAACAGTATGGATTAAAATTGCAGAAAAAGGTGGAAGCTTCAGCTGAATATGAATACGTGTTAAAAGTCCGGGGCTTAACATTAAATTATGATGTGGTTGAAAATCAGAATCTTCGTTATCATAAGTTTAAAGAAAGGGTTTTGAATTATGCTAAATTTGGAAGTGCTGAGAAGATTAATGTGATTTATCCCAATTTCCTCCGACCATCAATAAAAGATGGTCAAATCACGTCATATTGTCTTAATAAAATTTATAGACCCTATGTTTGTAAAGGGATAGTTTGTCCCTCGACCTTTCGAATTCTTGACTTTGGCTATGTAAACCCTATTCACCCGCGTATTCTTCCACCATGATTTCAAATTAGTTTTTATCTCTATTTATTACATTTTTATTTAACTTTATTTATTGTCTTTTAAATTTTTTATTTATAAAAAATACAATTTGTGAAAAATTTGAATAAAAATTATGCAATATTAAAATTAAAAAATACAGTTTGTTAAAAATCAAACTTTAGAAGTAGTAAATTTTAAGGGAAAATAGGTTTACTTTCAGATAGAATATACAATAATAAAATAATTAAAATAAGGAAATACATTTTAGAAAAAATTAAACTTGAGAAGTAGGTAATTTTAGACTGAAATATGCATATTTTTTAAAAAGAAGATACAATTTTGAAATAATTAAAATTTTAATAAAAAAGGAAAGATCAGTTTTAGGGGTAAATTTGCATTTTTTAATTTTAAGTTTTATTTTGTAAATTTTTGAATAAATTACCATCCAAGACATGCTTCATCGGCCTGGGAGCATTCATGTCGTCCACTGTTCTCGTACGTAAAATCATCGCCTATTTCAAACTTTATATTCGATTTAAAAGATTCAGTTTCGTTCAATCCAGAAAACAAGTTTGCAAATTTATTATTAAGATTATCGACTTCTTCGTCTACAAATTCGAGAAGTTCAAGAGGGTAAAATCTATCTTTTCCACTCCCTCTAAATCTTTCAATTATGCATTGAGTAAAGGGATTTTTCAGCCGAATCCCATGACGGCAATAATAATAAGCAGTTACAGATATATTGTAGGGTCGTCTAAATTTTCCAAATGCAGGAAGTTGATTAGCTCCTTGTTTCGTAATTCCATCAATAAAAAATGTTTTTGTAAATCCATTTCGGTCTTTATAAATGGTCCGAACCTTTCGACCTCTTAATAAATTAAAAATTTTTTTATGGTTTGTAGGATGTCTAAGTTCATCTCGTAAAGCTTTTGCTCGGCATTTAAGTAATTTTGAACATTCTTCTATGACCAGGACCATTTTAATCAAAAATTAATGAATAATGAAATGAATAATTTATCGGATATCACTTTTTTCGAAATACTGATTAGACCCGCCCATTTTTGAATCTATAACCCCGAAGAATTTTTTTAACCATAATCATTTAAATATTATTTGTTAAATCTTAAAATTTTTAATATGAGCGATAATTCATCTGAAAATACAACTCCTCATTATAATGACGAGAATGAAATGCTTCCCGAGACTAATGTTCCACCTCCACCTATACCTAAAGACTTTATCTGTAGTTTTAATTTGTGGAAATTGGTGAAGCCTAAATATCTTATACAATTTTATCTTTGTAATGGTTGTCGAGACAATCTTTTCAAATCTCAAGACAAACTCAAAAGAAATTTCAATGGAGTTACTATAAAAATTAATTTATGTGAAGAATGTGTTTCGAAGAATTGCAATGTCACAGATAATCTTTCATTTAAAAAAATCCAATAATTGAAATTTTAAAAATTTTATTTTATTACTAATATATATATTTTTTGTAAATATTATTCTTCCATTATATATATATAAATATTTGTAATAAAAATTTTATTTCCTTTTACACTTTAAATTTTTATTGAGATAAAAGTTCACTTGTAGAATTTAAGATATATTTATAAATAGGCATTTTTTATTTTAACATTTGTAACTTAGAGATTTATTGTTGTGTAAAATATTGTAAACATTGGAATTGTTGAATAATCAAAGGGAAAAAATCCATTAATTAGATATGTCAGCATTATTCCTATTTTTTGGCACTTTTCCTCCTTTGTTTATCCTTTAAATTAAACCAAGTGATTTATGAGTAGAGGTTAAAAGGTTGAAAAGAGAAAGATAAAGCTGTTGGCATTCTATTTCTCCTTCTTATCCTTTGGTTACAACAGGTGATATGTTGGAAGTGTAAAAGCGCAAAAATTGCTAATTTATTAATAGATGGAAAAATTTTAAATGGGATATTGGAAGGGCGGGGAAAGGTATATATATAAAGATCAGTATTTTGAACAATTCTCTCCTAAATAATAATAAAATTCCCAAAATCCTACAATTAAAAAAAATACTCGATGTCAACTTCTATTTCCGATTGTATGCGCGAGCTTCGAGCTCTTCGGAGTGCTATTGCCTTGCAGGATCGAATTATTTCCACACACGAAAGATCAATTGATCGACTTCGCAACCTAGTTATAGAAGGTGGACTTCGTCATGAAATTATGGAATCATGGGCTGAGCATGTCCCAGCAGAACAACGCTTTAGACGATGCTTCTCACCAATTGTTAGTCGAACAATCTTAGCTCGAAGAGTTCAACAACGTATAACTGAACGACGTTTGAAGAATAAGGAAGCAATTCATCAGCTCCAATTACATGAATTTGCAATTGAAAGAAATGAGAGCTTTATTATTGAACAAAAAAATAGACGTGAAGGTATATTTTAATCCGAAATCTTTAGATCTTATAATTCATTTTTAGAAGCTGGCAATAACGATCGCCTTGAAAGTTACAACAAAATGATCATTGAAAAAATTGATAGGAAATTAGAGCGTCGTCGTGAACAACTAATTTTAGGACATCAGAATCTTGATATTCACAATGAAATGCAACGCCAATTTCAATGGCATTTTAGTTTTAAATTACCTGAAAAAATTTTTTGGGTTGATACGTGTGTTGTTTGCAAGGCTGAGGAAAATCCAGGTTTTATGGGTACATGTGGACACATATGTTTATGCAAAGAATGCTGTAATCGTCTACACTTAGATGCACATAATTCTGGAAAGGTTGCGAGATGCCCATGTTGCCGAAAAATAACCGTATTTTTTAAATATGTTTTTGAACTATAAATGATTAAAAGAAACAACGACATAAAAGTTTGAAACCGATTTTGGACTAACATTTGCGGACATCCACTACCCTTTCAAATCATAAATTTGTTCTGAACCTTTATATTGAAATATTTCCATTGCTACAGTATGGTCTTCCTTTTAAGTAATTTTTGTCCGCAAATGTCGTAATTACTACAATATTTGTTAACCTCGATTATTTAAGCAATTATTTTATTTGGTTAGAACTGAACTTTTCATAAAAATTGTATACCTCAATTATTTAAGTAATTATTTAACTATTTTATTTGGTATAAAACTGAACTTTTCCTAAAAATTGTATACCTCGATTATTTAAGTAATTATTTAACTATTTTATTTGGTATAAAACTGAACGTTTCAAAAAAATAAAAATTCCGGGGATTAAAAAACAAATTTTTCTATTTAATAAAAACAAAGGAAAAACTTAAACAAAAATTTATTTATTTATTGAAATGGAAAATAAACATTTATTTAAAAAATTTTACATAAAAACTTAACTTTTATTAATATTCTTCCGCTTCGAACCGCATACTCTCTAAAAAAGTAAATTAAGGATAAGAGAGGGTAATAGTTTGGAATTCGACCTCTTTCCTTCCTTTCTATTTTCTAGTTTTTTTCTCAATTTATGGCAAATTATATTTCATTCGAAAGAGCTCAAAAAGGGCAGGGAAACGTTGAAAAAAGGGGCGAATTCCAAACAATTACCTAAGAGAATATAAAGATAAAAAAGAGGATTTAAAAAAAGATTAGCCAGCTAGAATAGTTGTGGGTTATGGACCCCCCACACCACCTAATGGCGTGGATCTTCCTCGACCCACCACCTAATGGCGTGGATCTTGGTCGACCCACCACCTAAAGGCGTAGATCTTCCTCGACCCACCACCTAATGGCGTGGATCTTGGTCGACCCACCACCTAAAGGCAGAGAATTTAAAAAAAGATTGGCCAGTCTAGAATAGTTGTGGGTTATGGACCCCCCTCACCACCTAATGGCGTGGATCTTGGTCGACCCACCACCTAAAGGCGTAGATCTTCCTCGACCCACCACCTAATGGCGTGGATCTTGGTTGACCCACCACCTAAAGGCGTAGATCTTCCTCGACCCACCACCTAATGGCGTGGATCTTGGTCGACCCACCACCTAAAGGCGTAGATCTTCCTCGACCCACCACCTAATGGCGTGGATCTTGGTCGACCCACCACCTAATGGCGTAGATCTTCCTCGACCCACCACCTAATGGTTTGTATCTCCTCGAACTAACAACCCATATCTATTCTAGACTGACCAATCTTTTTTTTAAATCCTCCTTTTTATACATATTTGGAGGTATGGATATTTTAAAAATTAAGGCTAAACTTCGTTTTATGGTTCTGATCAGATATGGATGATTTATATTTTATTCAAAAGAGCTCGTCGAGCTCTTTCGAATGAGCTATTATTTTATAAGAAAATTTTTATTCAAAAAATCGCCCCTTTGGATCTTCGATTTTTAAGGGCATATATCTCAGTCCAATCAACTCGGATTTCACTGATTTTGGTGTCTTTCGACTCAGCTAGAGGTGCTCTTTCGAATGACATAAAATCATCCATATCTGGTTCAGAACCATGAAACGAAGTTGAGCAAAATTAACAAAAATAACTTACATTGTTTCTTGTTCTATTCCTTTTCTTTTTTTTAAAATCAACCGGTCCACTTCCTTTTTGAGCAAGAACCTAAAATTATTTTACAATTTTAAAAATGAATAGGGAAAGAGTGTCTACTTGTTCCTGTTTTTTAAAATGAGTCTCTAAGTCAGTCAAGTCCAAATTAGTTTGACAAAGTCGTTTATTATCCTCCAATCGAGCTTTTCTCGCAGTTGCCAACTCCAATAATTCTTTATATGTTTGCTCCAAAAATTGCATTCTTTCTCTAACAACAGCTGGATCAACAGGTTTGTAGCCTTCTGTTTCGTCTCTAGAAAATCGTTCAGCTTGGCGATTGGCATTTTTGACATGATCAGCAATTATGTTAAGATCAGATTCCAGTAATGCATGTTTTTGTAATAATTCTTCCACATCCTTTACGTGTTGACCAAGTTCATCAGAATCAAGCTTAGCACGAAGTTCATCCATCTACAATATAAGAAGAAAGATTATTGACAAAGATGTGGAATTATCGTTTTAAATTTTAATTAGGGTGTTCAATATGAAAGGAGGAAAGAGTGAAATAAAAATAGGGCTATTTTCTCCTTGGAGAATAAACTACGAAGTTAATCTTTCCCCAAAAATTTTAAATTTAAAAGACTAAAATATAACCATTGCCAAAACTTTATCCATCTCATTGAATATTTTCTGAACAGTCAAACTCAATTCCAAACGTTGACGACGACCTTTTAGTAATTCTAGTAATTGATTCCAGAGGTCAAGAACATGTTCTTTTCTATCATTAATACGTCCAATATCGTGATACTTTTCAATTTCCAATTCCCCAGCAATAGAAATAAACGCTTGAACACGTTCCTCATAGGCGTAAATATCTTTAAAAATTTTAAGGTAAATCTTTGAGATGAAATTCAATAAATTTTTAATTTTATAAAGTCAGTCAATCAATCAAAATTTATTCAATATGAAAGGAGGAAAATAATATTGACTCCAGAGATAACTATATATTCTTACCTCCTTGAACTCATCTTAGCTTAACATTATTTAAAATATATCCAAAAACATTCTCTTACCAGTCTCAATAGCTTCATGTTTTTTATTAGCCGCCTCAACACTAGCCAGATCTGTTCCAAAGTTGTCTTGACTGACTAAACGTTGATTCTCTTGTAGCCAAGTTTCACTCATTCCAGCCTTTTTGTCAAAACCTGTTGCCAATTGTTCCAACTTTTCTATCTGAAATTTAATTTACAGTGGAAATCAAAAGTTAAAGAACGAGGAAGTCTCAAGAATTGCATAGATTATTCATAAACTAGTTTTGCCCCTGAAATTTACGGACCTAGTTTCTAAATGAGTGTATGAAATTGGTTGAATGAAAAACACTCATTGGGTGTATGAAAAATTATTAAACAAAAAGTCAATAAAAAATTTTTTTTAAAGATCCGGAAAAATCATATATCCGATCCAGAATTCCGGTGAACACTCATCGAAAAATCTTCATTACGGCCATTTCAAATTGGCAGATTCGGGTAATTCCAAGGCTGGTCCCCCCTTTTTTCTGTTCTCCTGACCATTTTGAGCTTTTTTGCTTGACATACAATTTACAATATATCGTTCGAAAGAGCTCTTCAAGCTGAGTCGAAAGGTACTTTCATCGAAATCCGACTTAAATAAACATATTTATGACCATTTGTTTTAATCCCTTTCAACATCACAAGAAGCATGTCAATCGAGGACAATCGAGGATTTAGCTTCATAATTTTGATCAGAATCGCTAAATCTAACCGATCATGGTATCATTCTACTCAGCTCGAACAGCTCTTTCGAATGATATATTGTAAATTGTATGTCAAGCAAAAAAGCTCAAAATGGTCAGGAGAACAGAAAAAAGGGGGGACCAGCCTTGGTATTACCCAGATTCGTACCAAAAATTCATTTGTGATAAAGAAATAAAAAAAAACTTTTAAACAACCTCAAATTTTTCAACAGCCCCCTCCAACTCCTTCCTACGCTCATCTGCCAACTTTTTCAAATAATCATAATATGCACGAATTTCTGCTATTCTTAGAGGAACTGGTCCACTTCCAGGTATTTGTTCATTAACCATTTGCTGTCCTTGTTGTTGTAAATCATCAAGTGTTCGGCCCAGATCAGAAAAATTGTTCTCATCATTTTTGTGTTTGGCAAGAAGGCGGTTAGCAGAGAATAAATCTTGACCTGTATCTTTTTTAGCAAAAGCCTAAATTTTAAAACAAGTATTCTAAAAATAAATTAAAAAAAAACCTTCTCAAAATCTTTGCCTTGTTTTGAAATATCTTTTAAATTTTTAATTAATTCTTTTTCAATTTTTTTCTCAAGTTGTTTTTCCTCGTCCAAAAAGTCATCCAAAAAATTATTGTTTTTGTTGTTTTCATATTCAGCAATTAAATCGGGAGAGTCCTAAAATATTAAAAATCTTTTTTAGTCAAAAAATAAAAACCATATCCGAGACAGGCAGCCAGGTATTGTGTTTTTTAGAGTAGTTGAGCCATTTAATATAATAAAATTTCACACCATTAATTGTTTTGTCTCCTAGTATACTTTCCACAACAAAATCCATTGCCTAAATTAATTTTAAAAAATCTCATTCCCGGGATCCCGTATCGGATATTATTTCAAAATTTTATACGGAACGGGATCCCGCAGGATCAATCCCGTAAATCCTATAATACAAGTAATCCCGTTTTCAAATTTACCGGGATCCCGCCGGGATTCCGGTCAATTTCACAAAAATTTTTTCTATTATAGATATATTGAATATTGGCGAATTTAAAGACAATATCGGTGGATTTCGACGGATTAAGGGAGGAATGAATAGATAGATTGGTTGTAAAATTTTTAAAAAAAATTTAAGCGCTAAAAATACTTATTTAACATTAAATAAGAAAAAAATATCAAAAACAATTCGTTTTAATAACTCACTAAGATTTTCGCGGAAATTCAAATATGATTGATAGTATTCTAACTAAAGTGTTCCTCAAATTATTATTAAAAAAGAAAAAGATATTTGTATCAGTGGTGTGCCGAAAGTGATTTTAAAAAGCGAAAGGTAGAAATATAAAAAAACGAAAGTCCAAAAAAGGCAAAAATCGACAAAAGACGAAAGGCTAAATTTTTTTAGCTCCACTATGAGTCTGAGATTCTTTGATCAAATAATTCAAAAGCCTTGTTTTAAACCTACAGATAATTAAATCAATAAATCTGGCATATCAGGGGATTTGCAGGATTAAAAAGGATATCATAAGAACTTGACAAATATCGGGGATTTAAATAGAAGTCAGAGGAGGAAAAATTTTATTTGATTTTCTATTTTTCGATCTATAGACCTCTCACTTCGTTACTTTGAAAAGGGTCTGAGACTATTATAGCTAGAAAAAAATTTTTTTATTCAAATTGAAATTTATTTATCAAATCGATGAATGTATTAAAAACATTTAGTATTTAGATTAATAGAGAATTGAGAAAAACCATTTGTCAAAAAATCAAAATATTTTTGTATTAACATTTTTTATGGGTCAATTTTAATTTTGTATTCATGCATAAATCGCAAACCATTTAAATAGCTTCAGGTACGACAAAATAGATTAAATCATCGTTATTCTTAATTAATGTGGAATGATGCAGCTGCATCATTCTTCGATTTTTAACAATCAGTCCGTGCAAGATTGAAACATTCTGAAATCCCCATGTATTGAAAAATGATGCAAATGTTTTCAACGCTGTTAAATTATTTGATTTAGTTCGGTGCAGATATGCTCCTTTGTAAAGTATTGGTAAAGCATTAGGATAATTTTTTAATATTCCGATTGCTTGTTCATGTGTTAAATAATTATTTACTGGACGATTTTGAAGAACAATTAGCCGTATCTTTAATTCATAACAGCTTAAAATATTAAATATATTTTATAGAATTTATCTGTAATTATCTCACTTTTTTCGAACATTACGTTTAAAATTTCGCCTAACCATAATATGAATATTAAGAAATTTTTAATATTAATATAAACAAATTTTTAATATAAAGAAATTTTTAAGAATGAATGCTAGTGTTAATTTTTTATTTATATTAAAATATCCTTAACTCCAGATTACGCAACAGTTTTACGATTTGTATTTTACAACATCTGACAATCTAGCTTGGCCATCGAGGAGAACAGGAAGAATAGTTATATATGTCACTAGGAGATTAATTTATGTTTATATTAAATACACAAACTATATACCAACAATTTCGGATAAATTTTTTACGATAATATTAGAAAAACACAAATATATATTTTGAAAATTATTAAACCATATATTATTATTAAAGTTTTAAAATCTTTTCTTAATTTTCTTAATTTTCTTTTATTTCTTTTTCCTTCCTTTCAATTCATAGTTTAATAGTTGCAAATTCGACCTTCTGGTCTCTCTCTTCACTTGTCACATTGTAACTTGTAGTTTTCACTTCCTTAAGCTCAATGCCTTGGTCTAAAAGTAAAAAAGAATTTTCTTATTTGATTTAAACATTTTTTACCATTGTCGCCACGAGTTCCTTGTTTTTTGCAAAAACATAACATAAACAAATAAATCAACTGAAAATTTACAATAAAAACAAATACTATTAAATATATTATTTAAATAAATTGCCTGAACAAATAAAATTGTAAACAAAATTCCTAATATAATCCAAAAATAGAAAATAATCTCATTGTAAAAGTAATAATTGTCTAAATAATTTTCAACATTCTCAAGCTCATAATCATAATTAGGCAATTCAAGGAAATCTTCAATATTATCAATTGATTTGTGGGCACATAATAAAGGCTTTGAATATTTTAAAGGTCTCCAGCATTGACCGTCGACAAAATTGCATGAGCAATTAAATTCGCGAATCCAAAACTTATTATTAAGGGTAACGGACATATTTTGATTTATTAAAATTTTTATAAGTAATTTTTGCGCGAGAATTCATATATATATACCCATAATTATCTTGATTAGCAATCATTTTTACCCAATTTGCATATATATTTTTTAATATATTCAATTTTTAAACACGTGTTTATATAATTTTATTCTTTCAATTGTACTATTATTCTTGCCAAAATTTAAAGAAAAACAAAGATTGTATTTACTTAAAAACAACATTAAAAAGAACAGATTTGTTTTTCTTTTCTTTTAAAAAACAAATGTTTATAATTCCATCAATTATTTTCTTTATTAAAACCGACAAGTGTAATAACAATAACCAAAGGCTCGATTTATTTTGAAGACAAATTCCAACAAAACATAAAAAAAGTGTGAAGTATAGATTTTACTTGTAATTTTTGATTTGTGAGGTTTATAATAAGTGACTAATTAAGTTGACAATCATTACCTCATTGTACGACGACAATCAACCTCTTTTTCCACAACCGACTGTGAATAATTAACCTAATCCTTTTAATTTGACGACAAAATGTGACTTTGATTTATGAGATAATTAATTAATTACGACGACAATTATACCTTTAAGTTTTGCGCGACGATTCCCCCACAACCACTTGTAAACCCTTAGGATTTCCCTCAAAACAGCTGTTAAAATGCTTCTTTTCCCTTTGGTTTTCCCTCCAAACCCTTCTTATCCTTTTGACTTTTCCTCCGACCATTTCACATCCTTTAGGTTTGTGCGGGAACGACGACGACGACAAAAGGTGGATGTAGACTACTGAGCTGGGAAGTGTTTAAGGGTTGAAACAATGCAAACTCCAAAACATTTATTACTAGAGCATGGTTTTTAGGCACAATAAAGTTAAAAATAGGCGCCTATATAGGTACTAAAAAACTGCCAAAATAGGCACCAAAATCCGAAAAAGGCAAAATAGGGGAAAATACCCCCCCCCCCTATTTGGGAAAAAACAGGCATTTGCCTAAAAATCCTTGCTCTACTTATTACATGCTAGGGTTTTGCCTAAAAAACAGGCATTTGCCTAAAAATCCTTGCTCTACTTATTACATGCTAGGGTTAAGGCCACAAAATTCCGGTTAGAATCCTACCCTGGTCCGCACTCTCCTTATGATATTAAAAAGGCTGTCTTATTGCTTATTTATTATCACCCTCTTACTTTTTTGAATAATTTTCTTTTTTAAAGAGTTCAAGTGCTTCTTTATTTATTTTATTATTATCACTTGGGGAACCAGAAAGAGATGTAGCATTAATAATTCCTTTAGCAACAGCTTTATTTACTGATAAACTTCTTTTATTTTTTTGTTTTATTAGAATTATTCGAAGAGCTATTTTAGCTTTAACAAAAAATAAAAATATGGTGAGAATATTAAAGATAAAATGTTTTATTAAGTTTTAAAGGTTATCGCATCTGAATTGGCTACAATTAAATAAATGATTAAAGGATTTGTGATTAAAAATTAATTATTTATTGAATGATTATTTGTAGTATTAATATTTTAAATAATTTTTGTTTATTTTATATTATACATATTTATTTCCTTAGGGTTGAGTAGAGCTGTCCGAGACTCTTGGTCTTGGAACCAAGACTTTTCTTGGTTTTTTTTGGTCTTGGTCTTGGAGTGTTTGTCTTGGTCTTGTCTTGGTTTTATTTTTTGGTCTTGGTTTTTTGGCCTTTTTGGACCTAGTGCTTGGCCATCCAAAATCCTCAAAATTTTCGCCTGTGGCGCAGAAAATGGAGGAAATCTGGCTTTTTGAGTCCCAAAATTAAAAAAATTTTCGCCTGCGGCGCTGAAAAAGTGAATTTTTTGGCATACGGCCTTCCAAAATTCTCAAAATTTTTGCCTGCGGCGCAGGAAAAGGAAGATTTTTGGTTTCTCGGCCTTCATAATCCCAAAGTTTTCGCCTGCGGCGCTGGAAAATGAAGAATTCTGGCTTCTTGGCCTTCCAAAATTGTACAAATTTTCGCATGCGCGCAAAAAGATAGGGATAAAATAGAGGATGGATATCAGCAACCATCATCACCTAATCACCCTGGTCCTCCAATTTCATACTATTCCTTTTGATCCCTCTTAATCCACTAAAATTCCCCTTTAAACCTCGATATCCTCCTTAATCCAAGGGCGTAGCCAGGGGGTCGATTTTGAATGAGGGGGGGGGGGGCTAACGTTGGGTATCGCCAAAATTTTGGCTTTACCTTGGCGTCCCACGACATCCCTCATAATTCACTAAATCCCACGGCAATCCCTCTTAATCCTTTGATATCACTAATATCCCGTTAATCCACCCAAATCCTCTGAAATAATAACCTATTTTATTGATTTTCCACACGAATAAATTCCCCGAAATTCTTTGAATTTCGCATAAATTTTTCGAAATTATAGATAATTGTGCTGAAGTTGACTGTGATCGTATCAAAATAACAAAAAATAAACCAAAAATTTGACCTATGGGATTTAAAAATTTGGTCTTGATTTTTGGTCTTGAGTCTTGGAGTTTTGGTCTTGGTCTTGAGTCTTGGTCTTGGAAAAAATTTTGTCTTGGGTCTTGAGTCTTGAGTCTTGGAAAAATTTCGGTCTCGGACAGCTCTAGGGTTGAGAATAGGGCAAACACAAGAAAACAAAAATAAATATTATTTCTATCTTTATCGCTTGTTAAATGTTAAAAGATTTTACTCTTTATTAGCTACAAATGGGTTTTAAGTTTTTGTGAAAGTAATCAAGAATCTAGCAAATAACAAACTCGTGCCTCGCAACCTGTCTTTCATTTTCAGTGCTGCAGTTATGCCAAAAATTTAAGAAAATTTGCACAAAAATACCAAATTGGCAAAAATGTACATTGTTTTTCTAAATAATTCCACTAATTGGAAATAAATTTTGAAAAATCAAGTCGGAAACGGAAGTGGTAGTCAATTCCGAATTTATAAAAATTTTCTGTTAGAATTCTACGAAAATATACCCGAGCATTTACGTAAATTTAAATTTAAAGGCATTGTCTGACATGGGGGACACTGACTTTTTTGCATTAATAGATAGAATAATTGTTAAACAATAATTGTTAAACACTACTACAACATTCTAAATTGTTTAACAAATTTTTTATTAAAAAATTTTTTATTATCTCAACTTTCAGTTCTTCCAGTCATATGATTTTTGGCCCTATCCGAAAGGAATGCCGCCATCCAATTTCTTCCATATTCTTTCAAAATTGTTAATTTTCTTATATTTTTTGTCTTCAATTTAAAATAAAGTAACTCATAATTAATCAACTCCTTCCAGTCAATGTCAAAGTTATCACCGGAAATTATTTTAAAATTTCCAATGCCGGAAATGATATCTTGCGCCCCCCTATGTCGACTGAATTTGAAAAATCGTTAAACGATCGTCAACACAGCTGGCAATTTATTTATTAAAGCAATAAATGCCTTGCCATTTAAATTCCCTTAAAACAAATTTTTTAATTAAAAAATTAAAAATTAAAAAAAATTATTTTTAAATGTTAATTACTCCAATATTTTATTTTTTAATTATTTTTTGTCTTCAATTTAAATATATTAAAAATGCTAAAAACATTTTAATTGTTGCTCCAAATAGATATACTAGCCATTTTAACTTTCATAAAAGTATGGCACTTTCTTTAGTTGCACAAGACTGGGTGACAAATGTTGTAAGTTATTTTTTTTCTAATTTTGGGTAATTTGTATTTTATTTCAAACTTTTATTCTGATTTAGGGAATTTTTTAAATTTTATTTGAAAATAAAATAAAAAAAAATTATTTTTCCTTGTTGTACATAGTAAAAAAAGCGGTAAAAGTTTCCTTGAATTAGTGTTTCACCGGAACCGAAATTTTGACCAGAACCGGAACAGGATCCAATTCGGAATTCGGCTCCCGGAACCGGAACTTCCAGTGAAACTCTACCTCAAATCCCCTCAATCTCTTTCAAACTCTGAAGATTAAAAAAACTTTTTTACAATTTAAATCCCAAAATTAAACAATTTAAGACACTTTTTGTTGTTGAAGAAAATCACAGAAATCGTGATCATAATTTAAGAGAAACCAATAAATTAAAGATTTTCTATTATCCAACAAATAATGTAGATCAACAAACGTCAAATATTTATGACTTTTCTGACTTTGCTGCAGCGCATTGTTTATATAAGTCGACACCTAATTTAAATTTAAAAATTTTAAAATCAATTCATGGAGATTTAAAAGAATATTTTAGTAAATTTTATTTTAAAATTTTTGAAAAGAAATATTTTTTGGAGGGGAGAAAAGGGGAGATAAGGGGAAAGAAAAACATTTAAAATTAACTATTTTAATTTTCATTTTTAAATAATTTTTAAAAAAATAAATTAAAGAAATCGCTAATGACCAACATTTAATACAAGCACTTTGTCTTCGACAATATCAAGTTTGTATAAATGAATTACGTTATTACCCACTTTTCCCAACACTTCAATTAATTGAATGTAAACATATTGTGGCTACTTCAAATATGCCACTTGAATCTATTTATTATGATTATTTGGGATTACTTCCAGCTATTATTCATAATGAAATTCCTGGTGTGTTTTTAATTTAAATATTAATTGGTATAGTATGTGCGAGGTAAAGCGGGCAGGATTCGATCCTGCGACCTCCTGGCATTTGTTGCTAGGCGCTTTCGCTCATCACGTACCAGGGGTGAGCGCATTGCGTTTTGCGTTTTGCGTTATTTGCGTTAAATTTTGGCCTTGCGTTGCGTTTTGCGTCTTGCGTTATTTTCGATGAAATTAACGCAAAAAATATATCCAATCTGAAGACAAAATTAGAGAAATCTGGCTTATTGGCCTTCCAAAATTCTAAAAATTTTCGCCTGCGGCGCTAAAAAATGAAGAAATTTTGCTTTCTGGCCTTCCAAAATTCTTAAAATTTTCGCTTGCGGCGCAGAAAATGGAGGAGGGATAAAGTGGCTAAGTGGAAAATATCGGAGGAACTGAAGTGATAGAAGACTATCGGTCGATTTACTGCGATTAAGGTTGATTTAAAAAGATATCGGGGGTTTGTAGGGATATCCTGCTATATCTCTGCAACCCCTGATAACTACTATATGCTCAAATCCCTGTTATTATTCTAATCTGAGGGCAAAAATTGGAAGAAATCTAGCTTCTGCTTTCCAAAATTATCAATATTTTTGCCTGCGGCGCTAAAAGTAGGGTATTTAAATATTTAAATACCAATTTTACATCTTGAAACGGCTCAAAAAATATCGGTTCATTATCTGGAGCTCAGATCTCAAGTTATCCTCCAAATTACCTGATATCCCCGGAATCAATTTATAAATACTGATAGCCCTTTATCCTCCGTTATCTCCCTAACTCACTCGACATCCTTTAGTAATCCCATGGGATCTTTTTAAATTTACTTGATCGCTCCAAATTACATGATAATCTGCGTAATCCCCAGCCACTTCGTTAACCACCTTGATCGTTCTAAATCTTCTGATATCCTTCATAATCCCTCTAAATCCTTTATCTCTCTCCAAAACATTACTCATCCAACTTGTACCTCAAACTTAATTATGACTCGCTAACTTATAGTAATACATCAATTTTTAACTGAAAAATGGCTAATACTTAATTTAAAAAATTTTTTTCTCAATTTTGCGTTCTTGCGTTTTGCGTCTTGCGTTATTTGCGTTAAATTTTGGCCTTGCGTTGCGTTTTGCGTCTTGCGTTTTTTGAGATTGTCTCTTGCGCTCACCCCTATCACGTACAGGTGCTCTACCAACTGAGCTTTTACTTTCTCTTTTAATAGATCTTAAACCTCCTCCTAGTGTGCGTTTTATATGCTAGCCAGCTAGATCTTTCTCTCCCTTACAGCTTAAACTTACTCTAAAAATTTTAATTACCTCCTCCCACGAGAAGTTGAAATAATAATTCCATAAAGCTTATTTTAATGATATGTATCTTCGCACAAAGTTAAAAAAATAATTTTTTAGTTGTATTGAAAGGAAAACCAAACAAACATGGAGAGTCTTCTTCCAGTAATAATCCACATGATGTTGCAGTATCACAAAGAAAGAAACAAATTAAAAATTTTGTAATTTTTTAAATTAAATTATTTATTTATTTTTATGTTTTTAGGATATATTTTTTAAACAAATTGGAGTAGATATGGGAATTGAAGAGAATTATTTTGAAAATTTAATTATAAATGTAATTAAATTTATTTTTGTTAATACACAATCTTTAATTGATTTTGAAGCAATGAGTAATATTTATCACGAAAAGATTATAAATATTGGAGGAATAGCTATTCCACAAAATAACAATCAAAATTTAACAGGACAAGTTTAACCATAATTCATAATTTAAAAATATTTTTTTTAATTTTCAGGTAGCAAATATTTTTGATTTTGCTTTCCAAAATAATAAACAAATAATTTTTGTTAGTTTTGGAACGATGTTTGATAGTCGATATTTTACAGACATACAAATACATAAATTAATTAAAAACTTTTCTCAATTTAATTATTTATTTATTTGGGCAATTGAGGATGTTGATTATAGAATACATAGTATATTGTGTGATTATAACAGAACAAATAATATATTGGAGGAAAATACCAATACATTTATATTTGATCGAGTAAATCAACCAGCTATTCTTGGTATTTATTTTTAATAAATTTTTAGAGACTGTTGATTAGGGTTATTCCCCGACGGGGTGGGAGAGCCACGTAGAACAATTTACGGGAAGGCAGCACCACAGGGGGGGGGGGAATTCATTCACCAAAATGAATTTTCAAAAAATCTCTCAAATTTTCGGGGATGGCCCAAATAAATAAATCCCACTTTTGGGGATTTATTTATTTATTAAATATATTATTTTTTTAAAAAATTATATTTTTTAAATTTTTCCCTATAGCTCATCCCCTTACAATTCTTTTTATTTCTCACTGTGGAATAAATAGTTCAATAGAAGCCGTAAAATATGGAAAACCATTAATTTGTGTTCCTTTTATGGCTGATCAATTCTATAATTCAGAAGCTTTAGCCTCCCGCGGAGTTGCTGAAGTTGTGGACAGAGAAGGGAATTTTGAAAATCTTGAACAGAATATTTTGGATGCATTAATGTAATTTTATTTTAAATTTTTAGATATGTAATGTTGTGTGGTTGGGGGTTGTTGGGAAGGGAAGGGAGAGTAGTTCGACGGCAGCTCCGGTTATCCTAGTCCGTGGAAGAACTAGGGCCGGAGCCCCGGATGGTTTACCCCTAAGTTAATAGAATTAAAAGTAAATTAAAATAAAATTTATTTAATTAAAAAATATAAAAAACAAATATATGTGTGGGGGAGAAGGGAATTAAGTGATTGGAATTAAAAGTGAAGTGAATGGGGAGATGGTGTGGAAATAAAATGTTCGGCTGGCAATAGAAAGGCCACGCCTTGTACCTTTACAGATATTTTTTAAAAATATTTCCCTTCTATTAATTAACTTTTAAAATTTATTAACCTACCCCAAACTATTCAGTATTTATTTTTATGTAAAATTTTTTAAATAAAAACTTTTAAAATAATTTCAGTTTACAAGAAAATATGAGTAATTTACAAAATCAAATGAATAATAGTGTTATTAATCCTGTACAGACATTTTTGGGAAAAATTGTTGATTTAATCAATTGAATTTATTCAAAATTTTAAATTTAATTTTTATTTTGTTGGAAGAAGGAAATTAATTATTTTTTGAAATTTAAATATTAAATATTGATATTTTTAAATTAAATTATTTATATTATTTAAACAATTTCCTCTATTTTATTTCAAACATAAATTATTTTGATAAATTTATATCTCCGTTGTGATAAATATTTAGACAAAAATATAAAAATAAATTGAAAAAAAATAAATTTAGAACATAGATTAATTATTTTATCAAATTAACTGATAAGACTAATATTTTTATATTTTAATATACCTACATATGGCTAGGTATACATATATTTAATTTATATTAAATTATTATAACTGAATGATTTATTATGACTTTAATTTATTATGAAATTAAAAAAAATTTTTTAACTAAATTTATTTTTAAATTTACTTTTTATAAAATGAAATTAAAGTTTTAAAATGCCTATTAATTCTTCTTCCCTTAATTCTCATCCATTTTTGAGATTACTTTTATCTAAATTTGGACATAATGAATTACCTGAAGGGGCAGCAGAGAAATGGGCTTTAAGTGAAAGGTTGGCCAATTGGTTGGATTGCCGCGATATTTTGAGTTATTTACGGGATGAATTTTATATTCCGAAGATGGGGACTTTGCCTAATGGTTATTTAATTAATTCAAAAATAATTAAATTTTAAATATATGTGCATAAAAAGGGCACAAGAAATAAGAAAATAATTTTAAATAGGGCATCTACTCACCCAGAGCTTAGGACAAACATTGAATACCGGACCACAGGGTTTATCACGCAAAGCTGCTACATATCCCATAGATGCCCTATTAGAAGCTCACTCAATGAGACTCATTGAAAAATAAAAGCCCATTGGTTTTATTAGAAAATTTTCCTTAATATAATCCTTCGTTGTATTTTTATTTCAAAATTTTGTAATATGTATTAACGATAAAGAAGAAAATGTAAATTGGGACTGATAAACGCATAGTACCCAAAAACCTCTAATATCCTAGAAAATTCCTTCTATCTTCCATAAATACCTACCATATTTTCTACTCATTAAAAGTCTTTTATTTATACTTAAATTTGTTCAAAAGGATATAAAAAATATTTTTTAAAAATAAATTTATATTTAATTTTAGTTAATCCATCAATTATTAATACTGGGTTAGAAAAAGAATGTATATATTTATGTTCAAATTCTGTAGGTTTACAACCAAAATGTACAAAACAATATATTAATAATGTATTAAAACAGTGGGAAGAAATGTGAGGATTTTTTTATTTTAAAAATTTTAAATTTATTAGGGGAGTTGATGGACATTTTTATGGTTCAGAACCTTGGATTAACTGTGACGATCGTCTTTTAGAAGGAATTGTTAAATTAGTAGGGGCTAAATTAAAAGAAGAAGTTGGTCTAATGAATTCAACTACAGTAAATATACATGTGGTAAATAAATAATTAATGATTTTAATTATAAAAATTGTTTTTAAAGAAACTTAGGAGATTGAATTTTGTGTTAATATTAAGTAGGGGAATAACCATATTTAAAGATTTTATATAGAATAAGTTGAAACAAAAAAATAATAAATAATGACCCTTAATAATAATGATAATAATAATTAATATACCCAATAATCCTTTATAATAATCCATCACAAGCTTTGAAAATTCACTTTCCAACAAAGATTAAAATTCAAAAAAATTTGTAAAAAAATTATTTTTATATTTTCAAGCTCTTTACTTCTTTTTATAATCCAACTCCAACAAAATACAAAATATTATTAGAAGATCATGCTTTCCCATCTGATCACTATGCAATAGAATCACAATTAAGAATTAAAGGATTAGATCCATTAAAGGCAATGATTTGTTTGAAGCCGAGGGAGGTTATTATAATAATTAATGTAATATTAATTTAAATTAAAGGGAGAGGATTGCCTTAGAACAGAAGATATTCTTGAAATAATTGAAAAAGAAGGGAATTCAATATCAATTTTATTTTTTAGTGCTGTTAATTATTATACTGGACAATTATTAAATATTCCATTAATAACCGAAAAAGCTAAACAAAAAGAGTGTTTTGTTGGCTGGGATCTTTCCCATGCTGTAGCTAATGTGCCCCTGTATTTAAATAAATGGAATGTTGATTTTGCTTGTTGGTGTAATTATAAATATGCTTGTTCTGGTCCAGGAGGAGTTGCTGGAATTGTTTGTTTTTTTGGGGGATTTTCCAATTAAAATATAATATTCAAAAAATGTTTTTAACCAGAAAAGTAAAAAAATGATATTTTGAAATTAAATTAAATTTTTCCTCAAATAACGTTACCGAATCAAAAAAGGAACCTATTTTAATATTTCTCGATATAATTTCAACATTTTTTGTCACTCTATTGGTGAATTCATATTCGAAAATTTAAATAAAAATAAGATTAGAATCCTTTTGGATTTCATTCAAAAATAATTTTGAATATTTTTTTAATTAAAAAAAGTTTATTCACGAACGTTACAAAAATGAAGGAATGTCACGTCAAAGGCTTCTTGGATGGTGGGGGCATCGTTTAGATACTCGATTTGAAATGAATAATAAAATGGAACTTTCTGAAGGGGTTGCTGGCTATCGAATGTCTACACCCTCGGCTATTTTAATGGCTGGGGTTAAAGGATTTCTTGAGGCAAATATTTCTATTTAAAAACGAATTTCAATTTAACTAACTCTTCGAAATACCGGACCTTTTCAATGATCCCAGCCTAATTCCCCCTAAAATGGCCCTCAAATCAACTTTATCTTCAGTCACTCTGAATTTATTATATCTAAATCCAATTTTAATTATTATTTTTTGTAATATTTAAAAGGTTTTTTCAAAAACTTCACTGGAACAATTAAATCAAAAATCAATTTTATTAACTTCTTACCTCGAATTTTTACTTGAAAATAATAAATTTAATCAACAAAAAGACAATTTAATTAATTTTATTCAAATAACACCTAAAGATCAAAAACAAAGAGGATGCCAATTATCTTTAAAATTTAATTGCCAAATTGATAAAATTCATAAAAAATTATCAGAAAGAGGAATTGTGGTAAAAAATAAATGAAAATTTTTTCTTTAAAATCTTCAGAATAATTACTAAAAAAATAATTAATTCCCCGGGGGAATTAATCGAGTATAATTTCTTAAAATTCATTAGAAAATTTTTTAATTTATTAGTATTTATGTAAATAATTTTAAAAAATCATAAAACTTAAATAACTTAAACTTACTTTTTTTCCAAAAAATATTTTTATTTATTTTTTATGTTGATAAACGTAATCCAAATGTAATTCGAGTTTCCCCAGCACCCCTTTATAATACATTTATGGATGTTTGGATATTTGTTCAGACACTTGATGAAGTTATTAATTTAGCAGAAAATGAAATGATTTTGGAAGAAAAAGAGAAAAATAATAAAAATTAAACAAACAAAATATTTGTATTTAATTTTATAATGAATAATATTTATCATTTATAAATGCCAAAATTGACCTTTATTATCAGTTATTTTTGACATTATTCAATTTTAATTTATTTTTAATTTTTATTTTCATCTGGTCCTTTAATGGCAGTAAATAAATAAATTATACGTAGATCTGAGGGTTTTAGAAAGTATGTAAAACCTTGGAACGATTTATTTGATTCTTTATTATCTTGTTTCCATCCATATTAAATTTCGTATGAACAATTAAAATTTAATTAGGTACAATATTTACACAAAAAATATTTTTAAATAAACTTTCTTTTTATCTTTAATTCTAATTATTTATTAAGCATTGGTTACCATAGAGAAAATTATCAGACGAGACCGGTATCTTTTAATATGTACTTAATAATAACTTTAAAATTAGTTGTAAGTACTACATGCGAATTAATTAAATTGTTCCAAATAGAGGAAGAAATGTTGAAGAAGAAGGAGACAAGCTAAAAAAGGAGGAAGAAAAAGCAACAAAATAATAAAGACGACGTAAATTATTTAAAAATTCTTGCATGGCGCCCCAAACGTAAAGCACGTCATTTGTTTATTCTTTAAAAATCTAGGGCAAAATACCATGAGTGGCCAAGATTAACGTCAAAAATATTTATAAATCAGTCTAGTTATATCCATATATCAGTATCTATACTTTCCATTAATTAAAATTCAATTGTGCACACCCACTATACTTAATTTTATGGTCCTTCTTTTTATTCTTTCTTTTTATCCTTTCTAAATAATATCCCCCTCCCCCATTCCGACGAAGGAAAGGAAGGGAATATATTCTCTCATAACTTCATTGCCTTATTAGTTAGTGCGTGAGATGTCTGGCAATAAAAAATAGAAAAAAGCCGCGTGCCGCTTATTTGCCAACATAAAAGTATATGAGAGTAAATGAGAGAAAAAGAGATGTAAAAAAAGAATCGAATTCATCGGTAGATAAAAATAAGGGGTTATAAAGAAGCCAATAAGGTGTATATATCCCTTATTTATTCTCTTTTTTTTGAAAAAAAAACTAAGAAAAGAGAATAAATATTAAAATAAAAAAATATTCTTCAAATAAAAAAATATTATTATTATTACATTATTGACATTTGCGCGGGCGGAGGATTGCCAAGGAAATGAGACTAATTGCCTTATCGGTATATGTTCAAAAAATATTTTTATTTGTTTTATAAATAAATTATATAAAACAATATCCTCACTTTTATTTGCTTATCTAAATAATCCTTGGACAATAACTCCGATTTGGGTTAGCTAAAAGCTTTTTTTGTAATTCAAAACAATGAAGTATCTAATTAATTTATATCAAAAATTTATACAGAATTACATTCAAGGGTTTCTGGATTTTTAATTTCTGAAATATAGGGCAGTCCACTTTAACTAAATTGCCATAATTAAACATCCAGTCTCTCCAACTTGACAAGTGTTTAGATAACTCTTGCCAGATACTTCGAATAATGCCAAAATCAACTATTTTTGACCTCAATTTATTTATATACCCCAATTAATTTATTTTCTCTCCAAATAAAAGTTTTTTTTCCTTTTTATTATTTAAATACATATCCCCCCCCCCCCTTTAGTTTTCCTTTGTCCATCCATCCATCTTTAATATAATTGGTGCCTAGTGGCATGCCACAATTTACTACTAAAAAATGTCAAGTAAAAAAGCAATTTATTTACTATATTTATATATTATGCAGGTGTCAAAAAGTACTTTTTTACTAAATAAAAGGCAAAAAACTTTTATGGCAAAAAATATTAAAAAGTAAATCAATATTAAAATAAATATTAAATTTAGCTGTCTGAAAATACAAAAAAAGGTAAAGCCGTTCGAGCATATCTCCTCTCCATCCCTCTCTCTTTTTTTCTAAGCCCCTTGTCTCTTTATTTAATGGCAATATATCCTTTACATAAAAATGACGTTAAAAACAGTAGATAATCTCTAAAAAATAATTTTTTTAGTTTTTTTGTTTATATTTATATTTGCTTTATAAAGACGTAAAAGGTTGACAAAAAATATTTCTAAAAATATTATTAAATATATTTATTTATTGTCTTTAGGCATTTGTTATAATTATTACTCAGTTTTTTGTTATAAAAACAATAAATATTAAATATTTATTTTAATAAATAAATTTTGTTTTATTTCAAAAAATTTACGAAAATATTTTTTATATTTAATTTTTTTCTGCCTGTTTTTTGCCAATTTTCTGCCTGTAAAGGAAAGCCTCATATTTATTTTTAAATTAATAATTCATTTAAAATATATATTTATTATAAAAAATATTTTAATTATTAATTTATTTATTTCCCCCCTCCTCCCTCCCCTCTTCACTTTATTTTTAAAACCCGACAAGGCCTATCCATCCTCTTTTTTATGCCGCTCACGCGCTTATTGCTCTACAACTACTAATTAGTATATCCTTTCTCATTTATTAATAAAAAATATTTTTTATTTTATTTTAAATTTTATAAAAAATATTTTTTATTTCGAATTATTTAATTAATATTTAAAGTTAGTACAAAAAATGGGACTATGCGGAAAACATCGACCTTCATTTCATCTTCACTCACCTTCAATGTTTTGATTTTTTAGTTCAATCTAATTTTGTCTAAATATTTTTATATTCTTAGCTATTTATAGGTAATTAATCCTCTTAATAAAAAATATTATTTTATTTATTTAATCCAAGATATATTTTTAAATATTTTTATTTTTTATCCATAAAATAACTAAAATTACATTTCTATTTTTATTAATTAAATTCCAAATATATTTTCTTCCTTATTTCTTCCCTGATTATTTCAATTAAAAATTATTTTAATAAATTAACAATGACTTCTTCATTTGTTCATCTCATTCTTAATTTTTATTTAATAATTATTTTAATTAAATTAAAATTAATTTAAATCAATACTTATATCTAAAGATCGGACCTTACCATATTACAGCCGTATTTTCCGATATTTATCGGTATTCTTTATCGGTAGTACGGTACGGAATACCGACCGATAAAATTTTGAATTGATCGGTATTTATCGGTCATATTATTTTTAAAGTCACATAATTTTTATTTACCAATTTAATACTTTTAAAAGCTATTTGTTATTATCAGCTTAAACTTTTCTTAATCCCTCTTTCCTTTTTAGAAAAAATAAATAAATATAAAAACATCAAAAACACCTCCTAAAACATCAAAAATTACAAAAAAGTTTAATAAAAATTTATTTATTACAGTATATTAAGTTGATTTTTTGTTGGCCCTAAATTTCACACGATTTTAATTTGTTAATAAATATTATATTTATATATTAATTAATGTTAATATTTATTTTTTGTATATTATTTATAAATAATAAATATTTTATTTATTTTTTAATTATTATTTAAATAAATAAACAAAATAAATAAATACTACCTTTTAATTAAAAAATAAATAAATAATCAAAACTCAAAGATTAATTATATATTTATTTTTATTTATTTTAGAATATATAAATTAATATTAATTTTTTTCAAAATAAATTTCCGTCCTCTATTTAATTAAAAGAAAATGGATACAAATTAAATCAACGATGAATGGTAATTTAAATTAATTTAAATAAATTAATTAAATATTAAAATATTTGTTTAGAACAATTTCAATTAAAATTATTTTCAATTCCAAATATTTATTTAATATTTATTCACCAATTACTATTTATTATTTTTTTATTTCCATCATTTACTATTAATTTAACACCACCAATTAATTTAAATAAAAATTGTTCTTTAAAAAATAATAATTCTTTTTTGGAATGTTTTTCTTTAAATGATTTAAATAATTATTTTAATTTAAATAAAAATAATTCTCAACAAATTAATCAATTAAAATTAAATTGTTTGGAAAATAATCAAACATTTAATGAGTTGGAATTAATTAAAAATATATCAGAAATTACAAAAATTAGGTATTGTTTAAATTAACTGTCAGATAAATGGGGTTGGATAAGATATTCTTTTTAGCTTTGTTTTTAGAACAATTTATTCTTGTTATGTCTTAATTATCTAAATCGGGCACCGTATAAATATAATAATATTCTATAAAATATTTTGCTAGTCCCTACTAAGGCTGTCGGATCCGGATATCCGGATCCGAAAAAAGACAGGATATACGAAAATTTTCGGTTCGGATGCTGGATTCGGTTTATCCGAAGATTTCCAACTATTCTACAACTTTAGTCCCTACTCTTAATTCCACTCTTAATTCCAAATAATTAATTCTGATTTCTAGTTAATAGAACGTGAATAATCCTGTTTGGTAAAGCTAGAACATAATACCTTTAAGTGTTTCTTAGCCTTTCTTTTGTAGGCATTATCATCTGTCTTAGCTTTAAATTTCTACAATAAATTCAAAAATATTTCTAAACCTTCACAATTTTTTAGTGATTTATCTCTACATAAATGCACTCAAAATGTAATATTTCAATTTACAAATCTTCCAAAAATTGAAAAACTAAATCTTAGTGGAAATGAATTAAATGAATTTAATTGGCAAGAATTAAGTTCTTCTAAACTTTCTCTAATTGATTTACGTAATAATCCATTAAATTGTAATAAATGTTCAAATTTTTGGTTACGTATAAGAAAAAAAGCTTTGAGTAAACAAATAATTGATGGATGGAATATTAGGTTATTTTTTAAAAATAATAATATGTACATATAAGGAAAAATAATTCATAAAGTCATGACTCTCTTGTAACTCTTCTAACTTTTAATTAAATATTAATTAACTTATATGTAGTTGAGTGAACCTCTTAGTCAGCATAAATTATTTATTTTTAAATTTCAGAACATTATTCCCAACAATTCCAGAACGTATTATAGCTCCTTCACTAAATAAATGCCCATTTTCTCAATGTAAAGAGGAAACTGCTAAATTTGAAGAAAAGAATCTTTCAAATTTGAATTTAGGGGATAAATTGGAATTAAAATGTAAATTCAAAACTGACAGAAATTTAACTTCAGCTTTTTTAAATAAAATATTTATATGGCCATTTAATCGGAGAGAAGATGAAGAACAAGGAAATAATTCATTAAAGGTGAATAATTTATTTTTGACTTTAGGAAGTAAATTATTCGAGGTTATTTGAGGGTTAATACCATGTCTATTTGCCCGACTGTCTATTTACAGTCAAAACTGGTTTAATACCAGCATTTGTTTGATTAGAGGTAACCTCCAAATAACACTACTAGAAATATTCAATTCTGATTTTATTTTAATCATATTAATTTCAAATAATTCTGTTTCTCTATTCGAAACGGAGGAGTGAAATAATTTTTTTTAGACAGATTTAAAAATTAACTAATCCAGATTTTCTTCACAAATATAAAATATATATTTCAGTTAACAGAAACAATTCTTTTACCTTCCGAAAATGCAGCCATTTTAAAAATAAATTCATTAAATAATATACATCTCGGACCAATTGCTTGTCGTTGTTTGCATTGTTCAATGCCTGGAATATTTGATATTAAAGAATTACACTTTCCAGTTCCATTAACTGTACATATTTTGGGTGAAAAAGGAAAGAAAAAAATTATTATTTTGCGTGGTTATCCAATTGGGAAATTTATTCGAATGGAGGTCACTCGCAAGGAGGATAATAAAACTGATTCAATTGAATTTGGCGGTGAAGAGGAGGTCAATAGCAAAGGATTGTTAGAAGGAGGAAGGTAGTATTGAGGAAAATTGTTGATTTATTATTTAGATTATTTTAAGTTAAGAATACTTTCAATATTTAAATTTGTTTTTGAAATTATTTTTTTGACAATTTCTTGGGGACTGTAAAATCGGGACCTGAAATTCTCTGAAAAATCCCCAAGCTCTAAGATTATGTTTTTGTTGAAACCTGATTCTGACAGAGATTTGGGTCTAGCAAATTGTTTGGGGTTTGTAAAAATTCACGGTGGTTTAACGAACTAAACGAATAAAGGAGAAAGCATTGTGTGAGTGAGCAAAGCCGAGCGATCACTGTCAGCGTTGTCTCAGGTTCGAATCCTGCCCGGTAGCTAGACTTTTGCTAAACTCTCTGTTTCTTATTTTGGTTAGAAACAGTGCTTCGAAATTTCAAATTTGCTCGTACTCGTACTCGTACTTCGTACCACCTCTTTTTTTGGCCTCGTACTCGTACTCGTACCTCGTACCACCCCTATTTTTTTGCTCGTACTCGTACTCGTACCTCGTACCACCCTTATTTTAGGCCTCGTACCTCGTACTCGTACCTCGTACTTACTCGTACTTGAGAAAAAATCAAAAAATCTAAAATTTTTATGATTTTTCGGAGTCCGAGACATCTAGTTTTAAATTTTAAGCGTTATATGCGATAATTTTTGAATCTTGGAAGGCTTTAAAGCCATAAATCCTCCAATATAATCCATTTTCTGCGCCGCAAACGAAATTTTTGAGCATTCGAATAATTTGAGCAGCAATATTGTCTCCAAGATGACTCGGGTTACCCGAAACACGGTATTTTTTCATCGGGTTTTCATTCACTTCCATGAAACTTTATACCTTTTCCACCGACTTTTCACATTTTTATCTTCTGATATTACTCTTAAGCTCAAATCCCTTCTGCGCCGCAGGCAAAAATTTTGAGAATTTTGGTTATCCTTAAGTCAGATTTCTTCCGTTTTTTGCGCCGCAGGCGGAAATTTTCAAAATTTTTTAATGGCCATGAAGCCAAATTTCTTGCATTTTTCTGCGCCGCAGGCGAATTTTGAAAATTTCGGAAGGCCGTAGGCAAAAAGAATTCACTTTTTAGAGTTCAAAGTAAAAATATTTTAAGAATTTCGAGAGTCAAAATCTCATAATTACTCCATGTAAAAATGGAATAATTTTTAAAACAAAATTAAACATATAAAATATGTTAGTTAAAGAAAGAAAAACACGAAAATTCATTGTCGTCTGAACAAGAATCGAACCCACATCTAAATCACTAACATCTTTGGTGAAGCCTAACACCCTAACCACTCGGCCACTCGCTCATATAGGGAATATTGAATAAAATTAAACATATTTTTTTGATTTTCCTATTAACACCAAGTACGAGAAGTACGAGCTCGTACTTAGGCCTCGTACCTCGTACTTTTCACTTTTTTTTGGCCTCGTACTCGTACTCGTACTTCGTACCTGTCCAAAATTTTTGCTCGTACTCGTACTCGTACTTCGTACCAGGTACGAGTACGAGTACGAGGTACGAGTACGAATTTTGGTACGAGCTTCGAAGCACTGGTTAGAAATAGTTTTGGCATTTATAATTTAAATATTTTTACGACTATAAAATTTTTTAAATAATTTTTTTAGTTTAAAACTGAATAAAATACACTAGAAATCTCTTCATTTAATTTTAATTTTTAAAGTTATTCTGGAGAGGATGTCCATTTACTCTTCAACAATTCATTAACTATTAAACCAGAAATTGCTCATTCTTCTTATTTTATTCGTTATTTTACAATTTCAATACACGAATGTACAAACTGTAATCATTCACAAAAAGGAGGGTTTTATGATTTTAATATTTGTGTTGGAAAGAATAAAAGTTTTGATAATTGTATTTTAATTAGTAATTTAAATATTGTGCCACCAGAATATCCGATTTCTAATATAAAGGTAAATTTTATAAAAAAATTGTGGATTAATAGATAGTGGAAACTAACGGGAATTTTGTAGATAGTGGAAACTAACGGGAATTTTATTGACTTTTGGCTAGATAAATAAATAAAAACAAAAAAATGTTGATTTTTTGAGAAGACTTCTCGTCCAAAGCCTTCAGTAAATGCTGTTAGCTCTAACCTAGTTTTAGTTTTTGGTTGCTATCATTTTACAGGCTCAGACTATTTTTCGTAATTCCAACAACAATTTCCAACCCAAAATTCATTAATAATTTCTAATTAATAAAAGACTTCATATTTTTAGTTATTTACTGGCAAAAATGCTCATAATTCATCTTCTCCATCCTTTCTAAGTATTTTACTTTCAATACCTCCAATTTTATTTATTGTCGGTGTTTTTACAATTTGTGGGCGAACTATTTGGAAATTTAAACAGCGAATTGAAATTAGAGAAAAATTAAAAAGAAAAAATTTTCGTCGAGGAAGTCGAAATACGCAAAGAACTGAAGAAACGTTTAGTTTTTAAAATTTAAAAAAAAAATTAATTTAATTTAATTTCAGAAGTATCCCATTAGATACAATGTCAAGAACTCTTTCACTTTCTAATTATATTCAAAGTCAATTACATTTACCTCTAATTTCTGAAGATGATTTACAGTTAAACGAATGTATTGGAAAGGTAAATAAATAAACAAATAGGGGTTGTTGGTTCGGTTCCGGATCGAAGAACCGAGGATTTTTAGAAAATTGAGAAATCTTTTCAGTGAAATACTTACCAGAGGTGGATCGGAACAGTCAGAGTTATTGGAAATCGGAAGAGCCGGAAATCGGAACTGGCTCAAAAGTCGGAACTCGGAAGGAAAAAACGTCGGAAATCGGAATCCCGACCCATCTCTGCTACTTACTGACTTCATAATATATAGGAAACCAAAATTTAATAGCTTGTTTTATTAGTTTTAATAAAATCCAGAAAAATATTCTTGGTTATCTCCCTTTCAATATCCAACATTCAAAAAAAATCTTTTAAATTTATTAGGGTGCATTTGGCGAAGTTTATATTGCTAAATGGAGATACAAAAAATTATTATCAACAAAAACAATAGAAGAAAAAGAAGAAGAAAATCACCCAATGATTAACAATATTTCTTTAAAAGAAAATACTAATAAAAATATTTTTGAAGAAAAAAAAGTAGCAATAAAAATGTTAATAAATATACAAATAGATGCAGAAATGGAAAGAGAAGCAGCTTTATTAGCTAATTTAGAACATCCTAACGTTTTAAAAATGTTTGGGGTTGCACAATGGAGAGGACAAGTTGCTCTAGTCTTAGAATTGATGAGTTTAGGGGATTTACGGTGATTTTTTGGGAAGAGATTCTAAAATAAAAAATAATATTTTTTAGTAATTATTTATATAATAGAAAGCCTTGTTGTACTAGCTATACACAATTTCCTCCACCTTTAATAAATGATGAATTAATTGATATTTGTATACAGGTAATTATTATGTAATGTAATTTTCGAAAAATTATTTTCTTTGAGATTACTTTTAACTAGTTTTTAATGCGTAATAATAATTATGTGAAAATTTAGAGAATTAAGAAATTCAAGTTCCGAAAAATAAATTAACTGATTTAAGTTAACTCTTTACACATTAATGGTAGCAGAAAATAGTTTTGAAAATTTTAGTTGTATAAAAATTTTCTACAATTTTTTGCCCTCTTGATTAATTCAAGAAAAATAAACTTAGTTATTTTAATGTCCCCCAAATATTTACTTAAACGTAAAACCATCAAAAGTATTAAAAGAAAATTTGTATAATAAAAATGTTCTCTCTCCATTCCTTATACTATTTACATATAACTTTGTAGATAACTGAAGGTCTTTGTTACCTTGCTGGCCAACAAATAGTTCACAGAGATTTAGCTGCCCGTAATTGCCTTGTTTCTGGGGAGTCTGATATGAGATGTAGTTCTGCAGCTTTTCGACCCCCAATTTGTGTTAAAATTGGTGATTTTGGTATGTCAAGAAGATTATATGCTTCTGCTGATTATTACAAAATGCAGGACAGACGAAAGGCTTTACCTGTTCGGTTAGTTTTTGATTTTTTTGAAGAAAATAAATTAATATTTTTATTTAGTTGGATGGCACCTGAATGTCTTTCTAATGGAAAGTTTACTTCACAGTCTGATATTTGGTCGTTAGGAGTACTTTTCTTTGAGGTAAATATAGTAAGATTCGGGTTATAATGGAAAATATTAAATTTTTGGGTAGAATGGGGCCCCTTTCCTTTCTGTATCTCTACATCCATCTATAACAATATTTTATTTTAGATTTTTTCTTTTGGTTCAAAACCTTTCGATCCACTTAAAGATGATGAAGTTATTATAGCTGTTCTAAGTGGAATGAGGCCTAAAGTGCCCGAAAAATGTAAACCAGAATTGGCAGATCTAATGAAGGAATGTTGGCACAGAAATCCACAAAAACGTCTTTCGGTTGTAGAAGTACTTCAAAGACTGAAAAAATTCAGAATTGGACAAGTAGAAACACCAAAAGAAAATGGGACGGGGATGGTAATAAATTCGTTATTAAATTACAATTAATTTATAACACTTGCTTCTTTAATTTAAAAATATTTTCTAAAAAATATTTGGAAAAGTATTTTGAATTTTTAAATTTTTATATTAAAATTTGGACTTTAAATTCTTTAAATTAATTTTAAACTAGGGTAACACCACGAGCCTTCGGAGACGGGATCATCTGGGATCGGGATTTGTCAGGGTAGTCTTCGGGGCCGCGTCGGGATTTTTGCCTAAAAATTCGTACTGGGACGGGGTGCTACCCTATTTTAAACATCTAAATTCTATAAATAAATCTCTAACTGTTCTATCAAAAATATGATAATTCTTTTTTAATTTTTTCTAAATTCATAACAATCGAATTGACATAACTATATTTATTGGCCAATTTATATGTGATATGTATATATTTTTATTTTAATATTTGTTTATTTTTTAATTAATTTAACAGTATGTATTAGAGATCGAGATTTTCAAAAAAAACTGACCTTGATTTTAAATGAGTACCTTGACCAGATTCTTGACCTTTAGTGAAGGAAAAATTAGGGAACGCTGAAAAATGATCTTGTCTCTGGATCCAGGAAAGATCAAGGTCTGAATCCAGACCCAGCTCGATCTCTAGTATGTATATTCTAATTGATGATATAAATAAATATTATGTTGTAAATTGTCATAAATATTATTTTGTAAATTTATCTACTAAATATATTAAAATGTAAAATACTATTGGAATTTTATGTAATATTTTTTTATCTATTTTAGAAAAGAATAATATATTTTAATTAAATCAATGCTTATCTAATATTTTAATTTTTATTATTAAACGACAATTCTACTTCCCAAAAAATCCTAATTTAATATTTTCATATCATTTTTAATTTTAAATAAATAACATATCCAAAACCACATATATTCTATACAATCAATTCTCTTCCTGTAATTATAAAACATTAAAAAGTTCTTTTTAAATCATTTTAGTTTTATCAAAGAATTGATTGTATATTTTAATTAAATCAGTTAAAGGGTGATATCGGGTTTTTATTTAATTTTTAATGTATTTAAATACATATTTTTTAAATTTATTTTATTGATAAACCTCAAATTCTTTTATCTGTAAATTTGTTTGTATAATTAATTTTTCTTCTTTTTTTTATTTTTCAATTTTACTTGCCCGATGTTTTTTTAATTTTTATAATGTGTAATAAAATATTGTTAAAATGCAAACAATCAAAAATCAGCTTTTATGTAGTACATATCCTCTTTCACAACCGATCACTCAGTTGTTGCTTTGATTTTTATAATTAAATAACATTTTTATTGAGTGAATTTTAAATACATTATCGTTTATTTAAAGCTTTAAGTTTCGAAAGAAAAGTTTAATTTGCCAAAAAACAGCAAAATTTTATTTCACACCAGGCTTGGAGCAACTCCAATTTTAAATAGTTAATATGTAGTAGTTAAATTAAGAACAATAATAGAAGATTAAATTGGGTTTTTTGTTGAAATAGATTTATTGAAATTAAATTTTAAATTTATTTTTTACCATACCGTATTTACTTGAATAATTCCCCCGGGGAATTATTTTTTCAACCCATCCGTAACATGGGGAATTATTCGAGGGAGGGGAATTATTCGTGTTTTCAAATTTGAACGTGTATTAGGGTATTTGGTGGATGGGGATTATTGTTTCAATTCATCCCTGGAATGGGGAATTATTCGAGTAAATATGGTACTTTATTTAACAAAACATTTCCTCTAACTACAAAAATGTTAAACTGATTAAATAATTATTAAAAGTCGACAAACTCTTTAGTTATATATTTGGTAATATTCAATTTCGTTCCCCCCTCCTTTTTCCTTCTCAAAGTATTAAAAAATGGTCAGTCTGAACAACAATTGTAGAACCCATCGAGCTGAGTCGAATGACACCAAAATCAATGCAATCGGACGAGTTTTGACAAAGTTATGACATTATTCAGACCTACCGGAGTCGGCGACTTATGTCATAACTTTTTCAAATCTTATCCAATCACGTTGATTTTAGTGTCAACCGACTCAACTCGACGAGCTCTTTCGGTTAAGGACGATTCAGTATCGCCGATTCAGTATCGCCGATTCAGTATCGCCGATTCAGTATCCGCCGATTCAGTATATGGCCATAACTTTCCTGATATTCGACCGATTTGAATAATTCTCATATCATTCGAAAGGTCTCAAGATTCGACATCTTTTTCATAATTGGCCCGATCTGATCTGTTGATCACAAAAAAAGTTACAGCGTGAAAACCGATTCTTTATGCCTGTGACGTCGTTTATCAGTGATAACTTTTTGTAGAGTGATCAGATCAGGTCAGTCCAATTATGAAAAAGATGCAGCACCCCGAGGCCTATCAAATCATATATAATAATTCCCACAATATTGATCGAGCAAAAAGTTATGGCCAAAAAAGCCAAATACTGAATCGGCCAATACTGAATCGGCGATACTGAATTGGCGATACTGAATCGGCGATACTGAATCGTCCCCTACCCAGCTCTTTCGAATGAGCTATCATTTGTATACTTTACCGTCCTTTTGGTTTTTAGCCCCTGTGGTTGTTCAATTTTCAGGGGTCTGTATTTCGGTCAAATCAAGTCGGATTTTGTTGATTTTGGTGTCATTCGACACAGCTCGATGGGTTCTACAATTGTTGTTCAGACTGACCATTTTTTAATACTTTGAGGAAGGAAAAAGGAGGGGGGAACCCACAATACTTTATTTACTTACAATTACAACAAACAACAAAAACAAATTAATATTCACCAGACAAAACAAAATTATTTATATATATTTTATCATCAAGAAATACATCCTTTCTTCTCTCATTTCTAATTTCTTTACATCTTTTGTTGTTTATCGTCTATAGCCGGAGATGATTAGAACTTCTCTAAAAGAAAATAAAATTTATTTTAATCAAAAATATAGGGGAACTAACCATTTCTTGGGACTTTGGTTGGCCATATAGTTTTGTTGGAGTAGCGCGACCTCAGTCTTTGCCCGTTTGATCTTACTGTACTGCACAAGCATGTAGATAATAACAGCACAACAACAGAAGCAGGGAAGATACATAAGGAAGACTACCACCGTCGTGCCAAGTCCCAAAATCGCACCACCTGCAGCAGCATTCCCTCCACTGCCGTAGTCTTCATCGGTCATGTTGTTGAGAAGTTTAGAACTGAGCAGAGAATATTGAGGAGATATTTTTGGAATAAAATTTCGTTCTTTTATAGTACAAAATTTTGTTTGGGTTAAGGCCAAAGTTTAAATACCTACATAATTTTAGGAGTGTATTATATCTTTCCATTCTACTACTATATTACATTCCAAAGGACTGACTCCCGACGTTTTTCTTCATTTGATTGTCGAATTCCGATTTTCTGTAAAGCATATAGCTATTTAATTCCTAGTGGTTAACAACATTGACTTTCACCACAAACAAGTGCGGTGTAATAACCAACACAGCAGTGCGGTCTACTGAAGATGCTGGTTGTCGATTAACTTTTTGCACTAGCTAAAGGAGAGAAATAGCTATAGCCCAGCTGCTTTACTTTTCGGAATTTGTTAAAATTTCCGATTTCTAATGATCTTCAAGCATTGTTCCGAATGAAGACTTTCTTCAGATATTTTTGGCTTCGGCGCTAAAAAGTGAAGAAATCTAGCTTCTAGTCTTTCCAAAATTCCCTAAATTTACGTCTGTGGCATTAATATAGATCTCATCGCTTTTGGAACTAAAACCCAGATATCAATAGAGTCGGAGCCACAAAACGTTAAATACCCAGCAGTACTGCCCAAGTTTAAAACAAGCACAAGAAAAGTCTTAAGTCAATGACAATAGCGTCAAGATCAAGAGTTTGCCTTTAAATCACACAATTGATACTTTTGACCAAACATCCCTCTAAACACTATGTATTTAATTGGAACAATTTCGACGCTCCTCCTAGATTGAAGATTTAAAGAATATTCAAACATTCCTCAAAATCACATGTTCAATATTTGCGCTCCTCACGGCAACACAAAACAACAATTAAGACTCAAACTTGTTCAAAAGTAATGGAACATTTAAAGAATCTAAACAAAAACATCATTCCATGTTTATTTATATTTATTTTACAACACACGACAAAATAAATAAAAATTCAACAAAACAAAATTATTGAAGAAATTTATATTTATTTTCCTTCCCTCACTTCTAATTTCTTTACTTCTTTTATTGTTTATCGCTTATATGTAGTAGTAGTTGTGATTAGACGTTTACTGAAAATTAAAGAAAATTATTTTAATAAAAAAATTTAATTAAAAATTCTAACCATTAGAATTTGACCTTTGGATAACCATTTGTTGGATCCGCATGGCATTCTCCCGTTCCTCTCTGTTGCTTTTGTTGATGCAGTAAGCGGCGACACCTATAGTACCGCCAACAGCGACACAGAATAAGATACAGGGAAGACAATCGAGAATAAAAAACACAAGAATCCAAAGAAGCGTTGGTTCACCTGCAGCAGCATCATCTTCTCGATCGTATGGGGCCATATTGTTGAGAAGTTTAGAAGAGAACACAGAATATTGACGAGATTTTTTTTGAAATAATATTTAAAAGTTCTTTTATATGTAGTATTTCAGAGGCCAACGTTTAATTACGTACGTGATGCGGTGATTCAAAAAACCGCGCGGAATTATTTCACTTCCACAAAACGAAAAAATTGCACTATTTCGAAAGCGAGATAACGAAAAAAAAGTGTGTTTATAACTTAAAAGGAATGTTGAGGGATTTGGTGTGATATGGAAAAATCAAGAGGGTTGAGGGAGATATTGGGGAATTGGAAATATCTGGGGATTTAGAGTGATATTTGGGGATATCAACTGATTTGAACAACATTCTTCGAATTTTTCATTATCATTGAGAGCGCATTCTTTTCATCATAATAGCACGAATTCGCTTTTCAAGTTTCTTAAGCTTTTAAAGCTGTTATCCACAGATCTGAGAAGGTTTCACAATTTTTCATCTTTATCACTTCTCATTTTCCTTCCAAATGCCAATAAAAACTATAACGGAAAAAGAACAAATGAGCGAATGCCACGCAAAAATGCAAGAAAGGAAGGGGAATGAATGCGCTTTTCCTTTGACAGGTGGATCGCAAACTGGGCATTTACCAATTAGTATGTATTTATCTTCAAAAATATTAATCTTTTTTGTTATAAAAATAATTCCAAACATTTCGAATGAACATAGAAAACACAAGCATTCACTGGAAATGCTCTTAATGCAAGTAAAGTACCCCCACGATAGAAAGTACTCATTCCACATAGAAAACTTCCTCCTTTTACCCGTCCTTCTTCAAAAACTTGTAAAAATATCTTCCAATATTGATAACGAGTTTGAAGGGGTATTTGGTGTTGTTGAAAAGCTTGGAGCCTGTTTTTTAAAAGTTCAAGTGGGCAAATAATCCACCAAGAAAGGGAACCAGCTATACCACCAGCTATTAACTAAAAATCTTTTATTAGACCTGAGTTGGTTTTTAGTCAATATTTATTTATTCAATTATAAATTTAGTTAGCGTAAATGTTCCAATAGAAGCCCGGCTCCAATAGAAGCCCATGCCCTAGCCCACTCAGTGATACCCAGTGAAGAATAAACGCCCATGCCCAATAGAAGTCCACTCCATGATACCCTTCGAAAAATAAACGCCCAGGGCTTCTATTGGAACATTTACGGTATTACATACTCGAATAAAATCCTCATTTATTGTAGAGTTTTTTCTCTTTTGTAAATTTTTTAGATTTCTAATAAAATATTCATAAACAGGAATGTAAAATAGATAACCAATAAAATCACGCCAAAACATTATTGTCCCTCCCTAATTAATTTTATTAATTAATAAAACAATATTTTAATAATTTATTTAGTTACCCTATAAAGTCCAATTAAACCTTCTTTTCTGAAAATATTTAAAGCGCAACTCAAAGGACCATTAATTTTTTGTGAATTATTTAATTTTATAGTCTGAATTTTAATATTAAATTAATTATTTAATATTTGCCTGTAATCTAGTTTTGACTAATTCAATTGGAATTGCTGGAATTATTTGAAAAAATGTTCCAACTGTTGAAGCAAAAATAATCTTTAAAAATAAAAATCTCTTTAAAATTTTGTATTTTTATAAATTTTTTCCTTAGACTTTTTTAATTGTTTCCATCGTTTTAAACCATTCAACGGAAAGATTTTCGAACTGTCCCGAATTTGGATTTTCGGACCATCTCGACCCTCTCAAAAGTTTTAAAGCCAATCCCTTTACGAGTAGAGATCGGCACAGAACAGGATCCTGCACAGGATTTTTCAGGATCCTGTCCGAAATCCTGCCTTCTTTTCAGTTACAGGATTGTCAGTATTCCAGTATTTTCAGGATTAATCCTGCAGGATCCTGTCCTGTTCGAAATTTTAAAACCCAATCCTGAAACAGGATCCTGCAAATGCAATTTTACCGATCTCTATTTACGAGATCGATCCATTACATAATTTTAAAGAGACAAATCTCCGCAAAAAAAATATTTAATTTAGCGATTTTTTGAATTTTATGAAAAATGACATTTTGTCCTATTTTTTATTTTAACTGAATTTTAACGATTTCGGGTGCACAGCAGATCAGCCTGTTAAGCCGTTTCAGTGCGAATTAGATAAAAAAGGATGTTTCGTCGTTTTTCTCTTTTTCTTTGTCGCTCTATTTTTTTCATGTGCTATTTTTCTAACGATATTCGTATTTTCGAGTTGTCAACTTCGAGAGGCTTAATCTCGAAAAAAAACTTAGAAAAAAAAGTTATCTTAACAAAATCGTTAAATATAATCTTATCTTTGTTTTAAAACCAAATTTATCGTTTTTTCGCATGTTTTATAAAAGTTTTACATGGCTTTATAGACACATTTAGATAAAAATGCCTTTTTCTAAAGTTTCTAGTAAGCAACTACGAAAGAAGCAAAAAGAGAAAATGGAAAATATGAGGCAGAATGCGGCTAAGGCCAGAGAGGCCGTTGGATTAAATAGACATGTGGACAGTATTGGGTTCATTAGATACTAGCCAAAACATCACCCCGAAACTTCACATTTTGTCAGCTCACTTTTGTGAATTTGCTGAAAAGAGAGGTATAAACTCAAAGGTAAGTTGTGCAGGGTGATTAGTCGAATTTTTAGGATGGTTTTCTGCTGTGAGCGAACAAGGAATAGAACATCTCCACCATAGGTTCAATCTTTTAAATGCCCGTTTTCGCAACGCTGGAAATCCTGAGGCTGAGGCAGAATCTATCCTAAGACATCACACTCTCGCAAACTTCTTACATGACATTGGAATTGATCCATTAGAGACAATTAATGAAGAGAATATAGCACTTTAATTTGTTTATTTTCAAAAAATTTAAAATTATTTTAGTTTTTTTTTCTGAGTCGAATAAATTTATTCGAATAAATTTATTTCTCACTTAAATGTAATTAAAAATACATTTTTAGTCAAAATATATTGTTTTTTATTTTTATTTATTAACTTCCGCTAAAAGGATTCGAACCCCACTCACATTTCCTTATTTTTTCGCTTTAAAGTGGGCGCACTATCCAACTAAGCCACAAGTACCGCACTGAAAGGCGAGTAACAGCCTTTGCCTATTTTGATCTGCTGTGCGGGTGCTACAATTTTTATCATTCATATAGGTTCAGAAAATGTCAAGCTGTAGTAATATTCAAAGTTGTTCAAAAGATGAAGATTTATTGGTTTTATCTTCAGAAGAATCTTGTGATGGTTTTTTTTAAATAAAAATTTTTCTTAAATTTATTTTTTAGAGACGGATCTTCCAATTGAGAAAACTGCGTTAAAAAGATTGGCAATAATTGATACTTTAAATTTAATTCATCAATGTGCTTTTTTGAGTCCATTTGCAAAAACACATAATCAGTTAATTTTTTAAGTTTTTTGGGGTCTTCGAAAATTTATTTATAGGAGAGTAATAAAATTGGGACAAAATGTCATTTTGAAAATTTATAGGGGATTTTAGAAAATTTCTAAAAAAATATCTTTTTGGGACAAAATGTCATGTTTATTTTTAATTAAACAAATTTTTTTTTCAATTTCAGAAAATGTGATGCAATTGCTGTTTTATTATTAGCAAGGAATTTATTGAGGGAAACATTTGACTTGAAACTTTATATTCCAGATTCTTATATGACTGGAGTAAATAGAGAAAAAGTTGCTAATCATTTTATTCTTGAGGTTTATTTTTAATTTTATTAAAATTTATTTGTTTTCCCTCAAAAAATGAAAAATAATATCCCTCAATAATTAATAAATTCGAGGCCTAAACATGCCTTTGTTCTTAATATTTATAAGAATAGGGACAGAACTCTGTTGTAAGAAAATTTGGTACTATGCGCCTACCCGCCCCCATTTTCCTTTCTCCAAAAAAAAATCCCCATAAAATTTTTAAAAGCTATAGAGAGCGTTACTTACCCACAGTGGGACAAACGCTCAATACCGGACCATAGGGTAGGTACTGGGAAATCACTCCATTGTATTTAAACATTTTGTAATATTTATGAGAATGAAGAAATGAGAAAAGAAGGAAATGGGGGCGGATAAATGCATAGTATTGAAAATTCTAAAGTGTAATTTTTAACTATTTTTGGGTCAAAGATTAAAAAATAAAATTTAAAAGGAAATGCAGAAACTTGGCTATTTGGGAACAATAACAGACCATTCCCATGATGATTTAATTTTATTAGAATATGCAAAATGTACTGGAGGATTTATAATTTCAAATGACAAATATAGAGATCACGACCAAATTTATTCGACAAAAACAAAAGACAAAGCTAGTTTAGACGTTATGCGGGAAAGAATTGTTAGATATAAATTTAAGCCTTGTAATGTTGAAAAATTGAAAAAAGGGAAAAATAGTTTGTGTACATCGACTCATGGAAGAGGATTTTTAGGGATTGATATTGTTTTGCAGCCTCCATCTTTGAGTAAGGAAAGAATTTTTTTGAAAAAATTTTTAAGAAAAAATATTTTTTAGAAGCAATGTTCTCTTGGGATAGAGATTCTGATCCTACTTTTGGAGTAGTTTTTCGTGAGCGAGCTTATCGAAGTCAGAGAAAGACTGAAAAGGCTATTGAAGTGTTGGATATTATGTGTGAATATTTTAGAGTTTGTTTTTCTTTATTGGGGTTGATAATTAGGTTATATAAATTCGGGGGAGGGGGTAGTTTAAGATGAATAAAAGGGATGGGGCTTTTCATAAAAATTATTAAAAAAATTTCTAGTTGGACTTTTGCTTCTTCCACTCGTTAGATCCAGAGCCTTTACCTTGGTTTGATCCTCAAGTTAATGCTCTTGTTTCTTTTGAGGGTTTTTGGCATCGGTATATTAATTATATAGACGAGAAACAAAGAAGAGAAAATCAACAAAAACGAGAAGATTGGTAAGAGAAGAATAGTTTGGGGGAATTTTAAATGAAGAAAATAAATTTTAGATTTGAGTTAAAATATTTCTGACCTTGAGCTTATTTAGGCCTTGATAGAATGGCGTCTTTCTATTTTTCCTAAAAGGAAGGAGGGGTGGGATTATATTGGTAACAGGTGTAACTAGGGTAGCAACCCAACCCCGAAAACCCGCAAGCCTTCCCGGCAACACACACCCGCCCCGAAGGGTCGGTGTCCCCCCTCCCTGGATACGCCCTTGCTCGCTTATATCTTTAAGAAATAAAAATCTTCTGAAAAACACAATAATTTAGAAGGATAGCCATTCTTGTAGACAAAGCTTTTTATTTATTTTAATATATTTTTAATTTAATAAATTATTTAAATTTAATTTCACAAATTCAGAATTATTTGGATTAGTCCCCTATTTTTAATAAATAATTAAAAAAAAATTTACCTCACTTGTTTTAAAATCTTTTTCAGATTTTTTGTTATTTTGTAATTTTTTTAAAGTTAATGTATATCCAGAAAAAAGTAAAGAATTAATTAATCCAGCAGAAATAAAAGGGGCGGCCATTCCCTTATAAAAAGCAAATATTCCCTCTTTTTGTAAAATTTCTTTTGCAATTTTTGTAAATCCAACAGACAAATTTTTATTTAATTGAACACGAGTTTTTAATATATCTAAGGGATAGCCAATTAAAGTACCAGAACTACCTAAAAATAGAATTTATAAATTAATAAATATTTTGATTTTATTTTTTGAGTCCACTCCTGAAGACCTACACCCCCAAGACCTACAACTTTTTGATCAACTCAAATTATTTATTTTTTTCCTTTACGAGTTTAATAGGTGAGTCTGAGGGATTAAAGGGGATCACTATCCACTTTAACACTCAAAATTCTCGATATCCCCCCTAATCCCTCCTAGTTCCTCTTTACCTCCTCTAAATCCCCCGATTAGACTTGTAAAGAAATGAAAAGTAAAAAATTGTTTTGATCAAAAAGCTGTAGGTCTTCAGGGCTGACCCCAGTTTTTTACCTGCAATATATCCGGCCAGTAAATCTTTATACATTTTATAAGCTTTAAAGAATTTTTTATAAATAATTTAAATTAATTTCAATAAAGCCTTTTAAATAATTTTAGGAATGTAAAAATATTATGCAATTAATAAATAAAACATTAACGTTAAAAATTAATGTGTTCGCTTCCATTAAGATAGCAAAATCGATATTTAAGCTTAATTATATGAAAAAATATATTTTTCTGATAACTTTTCTAGTGACACTACTTTTGTAAAAATTTAATAGGAAAGTTGGGAATTTTGAATACTAGAATATACATATATTTTCCATCTGACGTCTTTGTGACTAAGAACTCGAATAAAATTTTCAGAGGAATTCAGAAACTATTTTTCATTATTTTTAAAATATCAAAAAATTAATAAAATTTATTTTTTAAAATTAACAACATTTTCTAAAATTTTCTCAACTTTGTCTACTTTTAGCCCTTTCCTCATTCAACATTTTCTTCTGTTCATTACTTTCATTTCCAATAATTGTAAATATTGACGGGTCAGAATTAATTGATATCCACTCCAATTTTTTCATTTCACAATTTATTTTTAACAATTTTTGACGATTTTTTTCGAATTGTTTGGATATTTCCAATTTTTGTGAATCTTCTTCTAAAGGGTTTGGATTGGAAAGTAATTCAATTAAATCTTTGTCTGAAGGCCTACAAGTTTTTAATGTTTCGCCAGTCTTTAATTCTTTAAATAATTTTAAATCAATTCGGAGACGAATCTAAAAAAATAAAAATATTTTTTTTAATTAAAAAGAAAATGTTTAAAAATTGTTTTAAAAAGATGGAAAATTAATTTTGAGTATCAAGCACAAATGTTCGTAAATGCGAAAAATATTTGAGATTTTTATTTAAAAAATTTTAATACAAAAATACCCAAAACTCTTCTCTTTTATAAAAATCCCCCAAAAAAAGAGTATGGAACCATAAGTATGGAACTTACATAAAAGTTTAGTTAGATTTTTAACTGGAAATAAGGGGAAAAAATTTTAGAATCTGTAAGAATGGTCAAAAAAATCCCCTTATTAAAAATATTTTTAAATTTCTTTCTAAATTCATTAAAAATCAACTAACCTCAGTCAAAGCCATAAATATAAGACGGGAATATTCCAATTGAAGACGAACATTGTCAACATTATTATTATCGTTTTTTGGTAAAGATTTTTCTCCTTTTATATTTAATTTTAATGTGCTGACCTTTTAAATTTAATTAAAAATTTAATTTTAAGAATTAAAAGAGTTTTGGTATTTTATATGAAAACAATTTTCGTGGACTAGGGTTGGGGGTCCGGTCCGGAAGACTCAGTCGGGCATCGAATTTTGGCCCGAAAAAGACATGGTCGGGCCGGACATTTAAAGTGAAGCCCGAAAAAAATAATGACTTGAACGTCGGGCCGACTCGAAAACCCCAACCCCATTGATGACAAAAATTGAAAAAATTGTTATTTTGTGAACGATCAAAAGTTGTTCACAAAAATACCCAAAACTCTTCTCTTTTATAAAAATCCCCCAAAAAATTAATTTATTTACAATAGTAAACATTCTCGTCATTAATTCCAAAATTAATTCTTTCCCCAAAGTGCAAAGAGTTTCAATTGAATGTTTGTCATAATTGATAAGCATTTGTGGAGGTAAACCTAGTGGATTAATTCTTTGTTCAATTGGGAGTAATGACTGTTGTTGATTGGCTAAAAAATATGTATTTAAAATTTTTAAAGAATTTATTTAGAAATAGAATTAAAATTGTTTGATTTAAAAAAATTTGTGAAAAATAGAAGTCGGCAAAATCAAACTTCCGGGATCCCGAGTCGGGATTTTTTATTAACCGATGCCAGGACGGGACCCCGAGGGATAAACCCCAAAAAAAATCCCAGATCCCGAAAATAAAAAAAATACGGATTTTGGGATCCCGGAAAATCCCCTCGGGATCCCGTCCCGCGCCGGTCTCTAGTAAAAAATCTGTTTTCCTTCCCCAAAAAAATTTCCCGCGAAAGATTTTTTAATTTTAAACTTTTAATTAAAAAACTAAACATTGTTGAGAAGTTGTCTGTCTAATATTTTGTGAATATTGAGGAAATGTTGTAGAAGAGGACTAAAAAATATATTTTAATTTTTAAAAAAATTTTAATTTTAGAAAACCTGAATTTGTTGTTGTTGATAATTTGCCATTTAATATTTAAAAAAACAAAATTAATTTCGTCTAAAATGTATATGTATGTAAGAAAATATCAAGAAAAAACAACTAAAAAATCAAATAATTTTTATTTCTTTTATTTATTTATTTATTTATTTATTTATTTATTTATTTATTTATTTACGCCTTGATGGCGCGAGTCAAGTCAAAATACAATAAAAAAAACGAAATCAAGTAAAAAAAAAAATATATATATATATAAAAAAACAAAATCATGTCAATAAATTAAAAAAAACGAAAAGAATGCAACAAAAAGTATAAAAAAATTATTGTATATAAATTTAAATCGAACTTAATTCAGCCTCCGAATTGCGTGAAAAATTAATATGCGTTATGTTTTTTGCGAAATTTTTGTAATCTAATTTTCTAAAGTATGCCGGTAGTTTATTATAATACCTTATAGTCCTTACAAAAAATGAATTATGTCTAGTAATTGAGGTGCATGCTTTATATGATATTTTGTTTTGGTCCCCCCTTGTTTTAGATGGAATGATGAAATAGGGGTTATTTATGTTGGTAAAATTCCGTCATATACCCCATGGCCAAAATTAATAAAAAACTATTTTATATTACTTTTTATGCTCTAAAATGTATAGCAAATGTAATTTTAGAGGCGCGCTCTAGAAATTTGCTGAGATATTGGGCTCGAAATGGTCAAAAATCATAAGACTCAAAATGGTCAAAAACGTTAAATTTAAAATACGTTTCGATCGAAATATATTTTATTCGAAAGAGCTCGTCGAGCTAAGTCGTTGACACCAAAATCAACGAAATCCGTCTTGGTTTGACAAAGTTATGATCGTTTCTTTTAGCTCCTTACGTATGGCATCCGTGGAGTTTTTGCTGTTGTGGAAGAAGCTGGGCATTCCCATCTCATTGATGATAGGAATAGGACCATGTTACGAGCCCAGACCCAGCGCCCGTAGACTCCCCGCGAGGCGCGTGCCGCAAAACCCCGCGCGAAGCGCGGGGTTTTGCACAAGCGCCTCGCCGACGCTCCATAGGTTTACGTTGTTTATTATTTGTATCGTAACTTTGTACAGACTTGTTAGAACACGTTGAATTTGGTGTCTTTCAATTCGTCTCAACGAGCTCTTTCGAATAAAATATATTTCGATCGAAACGTATTTTAAATTTAACGTTTTTGACCATTTTGAGTCTTATGATTTTTGACCATTTCGAGCCCAATATCTCAGCAAATTTCTAGAGCGCGCTTCTAAAATTACATTTACTATACATTTTAGAGCATAAAAAGTAATATAAAATAGTTTTTTATTAATTTTGGCCATGGGGTATATGACGGAATTTTTCCTTTATGTTAATTGGGCTTAATCCTATGCAATGCTTGTGAAAGATTTTAAGATCTGTTATAATTCTTCTATTCTCTAAAGAATCTATTTTATATAATCTGAGGAGTTCAGGGTAGTTAGGGATATGTTCATTAAGTGTTATATTATTCTTGCGGTTATATACCATTCTTACGAAATCTTTTTGTATCTTTTCTATTTTGTTAATGTATTTTTTATAGTAAGGGTTCCAGACTGGAGAACTAAATTCCAATATACTTCTTACATATGTGGTGAACATATTAATTAAGAATCTTTCATCATTTGATCTTAGGGACCTAAGAATTGTATAACTAATTCTCCTAGCTTTATTACAAATAATGTCGATATGATTATGGAATTTTAACTCATGGTCAAAGAAAATACCCAAATCCCTTACTGATTGATTTCTAACAATTTTTGTTATGTGAGTATCTGCTATTGTATAAATGGTGCGAGGATTTTTAGTGCCTAAATGTAATATATTACATTTCTTTATAGATATATCCAATCCATTTATTTTTGTGTATTCGGAAAATTTTTCAATAAATTCTTGCAAAGGGTTTGAATTGACCGGATTGTCTTTGAAAATGTAATATGCCTTAATATCATCTACATATAGTTTAACTGTTACATTTTCTGTATAACAGAATTCAGTTAAATCATGTATGTAATATAAAAACAGTATGGGACCAAGTAGGGATCCTTGCGGGACTCCACTTTTTATGAGCGTTTTTTCAGAAAAGGATTCTTGGATTTTTACGGAGAAGGTTCTATTGTTTAAATAGTCTCTAAGCCAATCAGTTAGAGTTTCTGGAATACTTAAAGATTTTAGTTTACTTAATAATCTTTCGTGGGATATGGTGTCAAATGCTTTTGACAGATCTAAGTAGATTATATCTGCGGATTTTTTATTTTCTAATGCCATTGTAAGATCATCCATAACTTCTAGTAGTTGGGTTGTTACGGATTTACCTATATGGTATCCATGTTGCTCTTGTGGAAAAATTCTGTTTTTCCGAGCATGTTCAACTAATTTAGAGGCTAATATTTTTTCTAATATTTTGGCTGTTGAGCAGAGGAGAGAGATTGGTCTAAACTCGTTAGGTTTTTTAGCTTTTGGAATCTTTTGGATTGGAACGATTATACTTTCTTTCCACGGATAAGGTACCTTTTTTGTCATTAATGATAACGAGAATAAACTAAAGAGTGGATATGCCAATGTTTGTGCACAGTTTTTAAGAAAGATATTAGGTATATTATCAGGTGATGTGTTATTCTTATTATCTAATTTTGTTAAATAATTAAATATATCGTAAACTGAAAAATCCATGTAATCTATTGTATTCAATAGAGTGGAAGTTTTGTTTGTAATCTGTGTGTTAGTACCAATGTTTTTAAAGACTGAACTGAAATGAGATGCAAGTATGTTAACTTTCTGTTTATTTGTGAATATTATGTTATTGTGATCGTCTACCATTGTTGAGTATTTCAAATTTTTTGATTTAAGAAAAGCGCCAACATATGCAAATTTCTTTTTTGGTGGGGTATTATTCTTTTCTCTTTATTTTTCCGAAATTTCAGCATCTGTTTCCTTATTAGATGAGTTATCTTCAAATAGTTTGGCCTATTCGTTTTATGAATGTTTCGTTTCCATAAACCCTCTTGAGTGTCTAATAATTTTTTAATATGAGTCGGTAATCCTTTTAGTTTATTTTCTATAGGTAAGCAAGGTATAAAAAAGTTTATAGTTTCGTTAATTATGTTAGAAAAATTTTTATAGTTGATGTTTATATCATTGGAGTGCCCAAATATGGTTATCCAATCAATTGAAGCTAGGTATTGGTTAATTGTTTTATAGTCCGCTTTTTTAAAATTCTTGATGTATTTTGTAGGTTCATAAGTTATTATTTGTTCTAATTCAAAAATTATACTGTTATGATCCGATGTTGAGAAAGGGGGTGCTATTTCTAACTTGTGTATTAACAATAAGTTGTGTGTGTTAGTAAAAACAAGATCTAATATATTTTTTCCCCTAGTACCTTGAGAGACAAGTTGTATTAACTGTTGACTGTTAGTAAACTCACAAAATTCGTTTTCAATCTGAGTGGTGTGTGAGACAGGTAATAATTGTTCCCATGCTATTCCAGGAAAATTAAAATCTCCCAGCATTATACATGCATTTTCAGTGGTGCAGCAGTATAATATAGCTTCCAAGAAATTAGAAAAATCTTGTGATTTTTGAAACCCAGGGGGCCTGTAAACAGCAATAATTCTAATTGTTTGGAGTTGCGGTAATAACAAGTCGAATGATATTAGGTTGAAACTATTTGTTTTTAAAATTTTGGACTGTTTGAACGGTAATGCCTTATGAATTAGAACGCAAACGCCGCCACCTTTTTTGGATGGTCTGTCTGATCTTAGAATCTCATAATCTAATGCATGTAGAATAAAACTATCATTAATTTCTTTATGAAGCCAGGATTCGCTAACGACTATGATTTGGTATTTATTGGTGCTTAGTAATGATCGAAATTCATTCATTTTATTTAATAAACTACGAGCGTTAAAGCAAATGCATTTTATATTTTTGGATTTTTTAAAAATTTTCTTTTTACTTTTACAATTCTTATTGATTATTTGTACGCAATTCGGAGTTTTTTGGGCTGTTTTATAAATTGGCTTATAAGTTAGTGGGAGGAGATTAAGTTTTTTGAGTGTGGATTTGTATTTATGGTTGTGCGAAAAATAGGGATCTCCTCCCGCAAAATTACCATACCAGCATATATAATAAAGTCGGCACCAGGATTCGCCTGACGTTTTTCATGACACTGTTTTATAAGAGCAGATCGATTAGCGAGTTCTGTTCTGGAAAGGGACTCTCGCAAATATAAATGTTTGTATTGATTTTTTAAAAATTTTTTGCCTGAGAGTGCCTCCCGAACAGCATATGAACATGGAAATTTAATTTTAATTGGGCGAGGTTTATTTTGGTTAATTTTCCCCATACGAAAAATCCCAGTAGGCAAAGCACTTGAAACTTTACATTCATTTAAGACCTGTAAAACTCGTTGTTGATCATCCTTCGCCTTTTCAATTGATTCAGCTTGTTCACTTTCTGGCAATCCATTAAGCACGAGACAGTGGCGTCTTTCCTTCTCCTCCATTTCTTGCCTAAATTCACCATATTGAAGTTGGTTAGATTGTTGATTCCCAGTTTGTTGTTGTTGTTCCACTATCAATTACAATCAGAGATCATTTTATCTGGTTTACATGGTGAAAAAAATCGCTAACTTTTTGTGAATTTTTCTTTTATGACGAATTTCGTTGCAGATTGATTTTAGCCATTCCGTAAAAGATCGTTGCTTCTAGAGGTGGCAGTGAGATGCTCTGAAACTCGGGCGCTCTAAAAAATCTTTGCGGAACCGATGGGAATTGATTCAGCGCCCAAGTTTCAGAGCAGCTTAGCGTCAGTACGTTTCAACGCCAGTTATAAGGCACGTTTCCGCACAAATTATTTTAAAAAATGTTGGGAATTATAGATTTCGGGAATCGGGACCAGACCTGGGCGAAACTCAAAATTTTTTTCTGACGAAACGAAACGAAACAAAATTTTTTAAAAATCGTTTCGTTAACGAAACGAAACGAAA